TTTATGTCTATAGACTAAACTATGAAGAATATTTTAGTTTAAATGCATCTTCTTTTGATTACTTAACTTTTGGTTTATAATTATTGTATCATCTTTTTAAATTTTGGATTACTTTCCTTTGAGTTGATTTAATGATGTATTCTATACTAATTTAATTATCTCGTTTTATCAATCCAATTATAGATAATTCTGAGAAAATGCAATATTTAACTTTAGAAATCATATTATCTGCTATGTATATTAATCAATTATATATTAGTATCAGTATCAGTCTAAAAATTTCCTGTTCTTTATTTATTTTTTCTTTCTTTCCATTGTATCTATTTATTTTATTAAAACGAATATTAAATTAATTATATCTTAAACAATTTTTTAAACGGTACACAAATCAAAATTATAAAAATTAAATCATTTATTTTAAAATATTAAGAAAAGTAAGAGAGTAAAGATTTCTATCGTAAATCTACTGGAAGAGTTAATAGGAAAACAAGAGTAGAATTTTATTTGGATAGAAATAAACTTATCTGGATTGAGAACGAGAGAGCTAATATTAGACAAATATAAATCAAATATGATAAGAATGAAATTCTATTTGTTTTTGTAAATTACAACCACTAATAATTATTTCTTTTATATGAAACTCAAATAAATAATATCAATATAGTATGATATTAATCAAAGGCTTAAATAAATTTTCATCTTATTTCTAATTTATATTTGAAAAATTAACAAAATTATTCACCTAATACCTTACTAGATTACATAAAGTGATCTACATAAAGACATAGATTCTTCCCACTTCTTCTTAAGATTACTAAATTACGATATAGAATCATTTATTTACACTTTATTTAAATATTAAAAACCATTAAAATCACTTTAAAAAAAATATCAATATCAAAATATTCTTGTTTTATTTAGAACAAAAGTGATTTAATATACAATTTTATTATTTGAATTACCAGAGGAAATAAACAAAACGTAACTATATGTACAAATGTTATAAGGTATAAACTCCAAAGATATTTAAGTAAAGGATTATCAATTGATAAATCTTATTCATCTCATTTCAAATCCTTAACTCCTTAAATTAAGAATATGGTCTATATTTATTTTAAGAGAAAATATTTAAAAACTCTTTAGGGTGATTGATAAGATGAGTATTAAAATATTTATGTCCAAAAAAAGCCAAAAAACCTAAAGAGCCTCCTAAAAGTATTAATCAAGAAAAATACTTTGGCAAAGAGTTAATGAAATATTATGAAAAGTACTTAAAGATAGAAATTATTTTCGAAAAAGACTGTAAGATTACTATCTAAATTGTAAGGCAGAATATAGAAATTAAAAAGCTTTTATTAACTCACTGAAGACAATAATATCTAATTAAGCTATATTTTATTACGTTAAAATAAAAGGAGAAGTAAGACTAAAAAGGAAGGATTCATAAAAAAAGTATTTTAATATTTAAATTAATATTAATAAAATGATTTATTATAATAATTAAATAGAAAAGAAGCATACAGTATAACATGATAAAATTAAAAAAGATGATATTATCTATTGGAAAATAATGATAATAATAATTTACTTATAATCTTTAACAAATTTAATTGATATATATATATCAATTAAATTTGATTTTGATAAATAATAATTAAGATTAATTAAAATTGAAATACAGAATAAATTTATTTAAACTTTATATTTTATTGAATAAAATCATTTATTCTACTTAATTTCATTTTCATCATCTGAAATAAAGTTACCTTTGCCACTTATTCGTTTCAATCTTTTCCAAACTCTATTCTTTATACCTTCTTCATATTTTCCTTTATATCTGATTTACTTCATACTTAAAATAAATAACTAATATACTCTTCAAATTAATCATATAATTTAGCCCATTAACCAGTCTTCTTTCCATTTCCATCATAATCTCCATTACCACTATTTTAGTAATTAGACATCATTTACATTGTTATTTCAATCTTTGACAATGTCGATTATCTAAAGTTAATTTATCATGTACCTTATTTCTTACTCTTTTGATACTTTCCCTTATATCTTACTTAAGAATGACTAAACTGTTAAAATAATTTAATACATTTTGAAGTTTTCATACAAATCAATCCATTAGCCATTTTTCAACTAATTTTCATCATATACTCCTTCTCCTCTAAGTTAAATAAATAATTCTTATTACAATTGTCTTTCGTTTTTATCCAACTTTAAAAAAAATTCCCATTTACCATTTTTTTTTCCATTTTCATACATAGCCTTATAACAAATCTATGTCTAACTATTTATAATTAAAATATCAAATAAAAAGAGAAATTAGGATTTAATTCTATCCATTATTCATTTTTCCTTCCTTCTGAATCATATAATCCTCCACCACTAATTCTTTATTGTAAATTTTTACATTGCTACAAACTCTGATGCCTCATCTCTATTCTTAATATCCCATTTTTGATCTTTCTTCCGATTTCTATGTATACCCTAATAAATAACTTATCCATAACTAGAAGATATTTATATCATTTACTTTGATGCAAATCTATCTATTCATCAATTTTGATTTAATTTTCATTATGATTGCCTTTTCTAAAAATTAAAAAGGAAATCTTACATAATTTCTTATTGACTTTCTTTTTCACTTTTAAATAGAATTTTCCATTAATTACACTTTTTTGCATTATTATATTAACCTATAAGAAAGGTTACATTGTCTCTATTCATAATTACTAATTGAATAATTAGAATAATAGTTATGTAATTCTTTCCATATTCCATTCTTATTTCCTTCGAGAGAGTATCATCCACCACCACTTTAATATTAATATCAATATTGTACATTTTTTTTCCTTCAAATTTAAAATCCCATTATTCAATTCTGTTTCCATTTTCTTATTTTCCTGACTCAATTATTTGATTATTTCTACATTTTGAATATATTTATACTCATTAAAATTATTATGCAATTCTATCCAATTACCTTCCTTTTTTTCCTATTTTATTATAATATCCTCCATCACTTAAAAAATAAAGAAATTTTCTTACATTTATCTCCCCTTTTATAGTATATTCCACTGGTTAATCTTTTATCCTTCCAAATACTCTCCATTAAGAATGAATTGATTCCCTCTATTCAATAGATAATATTAAATACTCATGATAATTTTCATGTAAATCAAACCATCTCCCATTTTTTAAGCCATTTTATGAATAAGAGCCCTCACCTCTTAATTATTGTTAAATTATAATACAGTAATTAATTATTGTGGATAATATACCAAACACCACATTTTTTATTATTTTCATACTTCCCCTTTTCAAATACTTAAGCTTTGCTAAAACATAAAATATCAAATTACTCCCAGAGATTTTAGCTTAACTTTTTCCATTCACCATTCTTTAATCCATTTTATAAATAATCCCCTCCAACATCTAATTTTTCTCCCTTCCAAGTTGGATACCTTTTGCCTTCCTTTTATGAATTCAAATTATATTAATCATGCCAATTTAGCTGCTTAATCTATTATAAGTCTTTCATTATCTAAGGTTTATCATAAAAATCTTATATCTCATTGCTTCAATTATAAATATTTTCAAATACCATCTAAGTATTTCTCCATCTTGTAAATATATCATTTCAATTTCTTTTATATATATAACTTACAATTGAGTTTCTTTCAAATTAAGGAACTATCTTTTTATTCCTTGAATATCTGAAAAATTGATATATAGAGATAACATTTATTTACTTAAGGGAAAATAACTACTATGATAATTTTAGGTTAAAATCGTTAACTTAATCCTCTAAATTTTTTCTTATTTTCTCTATATCATCATAAAAGGTATCTTAAAAGATTATCCAATTTTCTATACTTTTTCTTATAATATCAACTAAAGATTATATTTTAACAAGACTATGTGATTAAAGGGGTATTAGAATTCAAAAGATTAAAATAATATAATCTTATTAATCTAATATCTCAAATTATTTCTATATTTCTTTTAGCTTTGTATTTGAAATCCAATAATAACTAATTATTATGTTTAATGAATTAGAAAATGCTATTCCAATTAAAACAATCTCTCAAATTTTTATATTCAATTACAATTAATTAAAGTATTACACCTAAAACATTCAATGAATCATATTATTCATTCTAAATCATTAATTATTATGAGTTCATCTCTCAAAAATATTTAAGTTACTTTAGAGGATTTTAATTTTTAATGGATTTAAGTATGGTAGAGTATTATTTTTTTTCAGAGAATTACACTTTAATTATTTAATAATCATTTTAAATTTATTTTATGGCCATTTTATAGTCTCGTCTTATATTAATCTTGTTATTATTTCAACAACAAGATACTACATTTTTTATGACATTTAATACATTTATAAGAATTATTTTTATATTACTATAAATATCATATATAATGTATTAATCATTGAATATTAATTAGCTGATGTCATATATGATTAATACAATTATATATAANTTATCCATAACTAGAAGATATTTATATCATTTACTTTGATGCAAATCTATCTATTCATCAATTTTGATTTAATTTTCATTATGATTGCCTTTTCTAAAAATTAAAAAGGAAATCTTACATAATTTCTTATTGACTTTCTTTTTCACTTTTAAATAGAATTTTCCATTAATTACACTTTTTTGCATTATTATATTAACCTATAAGAAAGGTTACATTGTCTCTATTCATAATTACTAATTGAATAATTAGAATAATAGTTATGTAATTCTTTCCATATTCCATTCTTATTTCCTTCGAGAGAGTATCATCCACCACCACTTTAATATTAATATCAATATTGTACATTTTTTTTCCTTCAAATTTAAAATCCCATTATTCAATTCTGTTTCCATTTTCTTATTTTCCTGACTCAATTATTTGATTATTTCTACATTTTGAATATATTTATACTCATTAAAATTATTATGCAATTCTATCCAATTACCTTCCTTTTTTTCCTATTTTATTATAATATCCTCCATCACTTAAAAAATAAAGAAATTTTCTTACATTTATCTCCCCTTTTATAGTATATTCCACTGGTTAATCTTTTATCCTTCCAAATACTCTCCATTAAGAATGAATTGATTCCCTCTATTCAATAGATAATATTAAATACTCATGATAATTTTCATGTAAATCAAACCATCTCCCATTTTTTAAGCCATTTTATGAATAAGAGCCCTCACCTCTTAATTATTGTTAAATTATAATACAGTAATTAATTATTGTGGATAATATACCAAACACCACATTTTTTATTATTTTCATACTTCCCCTTTTCAAATACTTAAGCTTTGCTAAAACATAAAATATCAAATTACTCCCAGAGATTTTAGCTTAACTTTTTCCATTCACCATTCTTTAATCCATTTTATAAATAATCCCCTCCAACATCTAATTTTTCTCCCTTCCAAGTTGGATACCTTTTGCCTTCCTTTTATGAATTCAAATTATATTAATCATGCCAATTTAGCTGCTTAATCTATTATAAGTCTTTCATTATCTAAGGTTTATCATAAAAATCTTATATCTCATTGCTTCAATTATAAATATTTTCAAATACCATCTAAGTATTTCTCCATCTTGTAAATATATCATTTCAATTTCTTTTATATATATAACTTACAATTGAGTTTCTTTCAAATTAAGGAACTATCTTTTTATTCCTTGAATATCTGAAAAATTGATATATAGAGATAACATTTATTTACTTAAGGGAAAATAACTACTATGATAATTTTAGGTTAAAATCGTTAACTTAATCCTCTAAATTTTTTCTTATTTTCTCTATATCATCATAAAAGGTATCTTAAAAGATTATCCAATTTTCTATACTTTTTCTTATAATATCAACTAAAGATTATATTTTAACAAGACTATGTGATTAAAGGGGTATTAGAATTCAAAAGATTAAAATAATATAATCTTATTAATCTAATATCTCAAATTATTTCTATATTTCTTTTAGCTTTGTATTTGAAATCCAATAATAACTAATTATTATGTTTAATGAATTAGAAAATGCTATTCCAATTAAAACAATCTCTCAAATTTTTATATTCAATTACAATTAATTAAAGTATTACACCTAAAACATTCAATGAATCATATTATTCATTCTAAATCATTAATTATTATGAGTTCATCTCTCAAAAATATTTAAGTTACTTTAGAGGATTTTAATTTTTAATGGATTTAAGTATGGTAGAGTATTATTTTTTTTCAGAGAATTACACTTTAATTATTTAATAATCATTTTAAATTTATTTTATGGCCATTTTATAGTCTCGTCTTATATTAATCTTGTTATTATTTCAACAACAAGATACTACATTTTTTATGACATTTAATACATTTATAAGAATTATTTTTATATTACTATAAATATCATATATAATGTATTAATCATTGAATATTAATTAGCTGATGTCATATATGATTAATACAATTATATATAAAATTTAGCATAATATCTTCTGATAAATTATGATAAATATAACAAAAAAAGATTATATTTATCAGTATTTTTAGATTGATAGAGTTATTAATAATTATTATGTATCATCCAAAAATTTAAGTGTCAATGCATGAAAATGAATCAAAATTAAGTGATGTTAATGCTCCTCCTTTATTTGTTTGTTTTGATGTTGTGAATAAATTACCAATATCACTCTAATCGGTACATTATATTGTAAATGTCTAACCTGGTTTGGCAATTGTTGAAATATAATAGAATTATAACACATAGCATTATGAAGTTCCAATTGAATTAGAATATATGTTTACTATCTAAAAGGATTCAGTTGTTAGTAAGATGGTAGCAGAATTAGGTGATATAAAAGTCTTTGGCATTGTAAAAGAATTGGAGGAAGCAAAAAAAGAATATCAATAAGGCATATAAGCTGGAAAAACTATGATTTTAGGTGAATAGGATAAATAAATAACTGATTTAAAAAAAGTAAAGATTGGTTGTTTAGCTCCTGGAAAATCTTTAAAAATAACTTTTGAATATATTCAGCCTTTAAAAGTTTATTTAAATTAATTTTGGATGCTTGAATTATCGCCAATGGTAGATTCAAGTTATCTTACAGTCTATTAGTTAAAAAACTAATCAGTCAACTATCCTTAATTATATAATTAAATATAAAAAAGTTTGAATTTTCAAGGTCTCTAATAAAACTATTAATAAGATATCACAATAAATATTAATTTATAGAAACCTATAACATTTGTAAAGTCTCCAACCCATTAAATTTTAATTAATAATGATGATAATTAATTTGTCAAAGAAAACTTTACAAAAAATTAAATAATCATTCTTGATAAAAAATATCCAAATAACTTTCTCCCAAATAAAAAATTTGAGCTGTTATTTTCATCTGATGATGTCAATTCACCTCATTCTTTTCTTACTCATACTAATAATGATGCCTTATAACATATTAAATATTGTGCTACCTTAACATTAATACCAAAATTTAATGAAGTACCTTTGGATGATGCTTATTCATCATACATAAATGGGTTAAATTTATCTTCAGAAACAAAAATAAATAGAGGAAATTATTATTTTTTTATTGATAGAAGTGGTTCGATGGAAGGGTAAAGAATATAGAAAGCAAAGCAATCATTAATTTTATTCTTAAAAAGTTTNTAAATTATGATAAATATAACAAAAAAAGATTATATTTATCAGTATTTTTAGATTGATAGAGTTATTAATAATTATTATGTATCATCCAAAAATTTAAGTGTCAATGCATGAAAATGAATCAAAATTAAGTGATGTTAATGCTCCTCCTTTATTTGTTTGTTTTGATGTTGTGAATAAATTACCAATATCACTCTAATCGGTACATTATATTGTAAATGTCTAACCTGGTTTGGCAATTGTTGAAATATAATAGAATTATAACACATAGCATTATGAAGTTCCAATTGAATTAGAATATATGTTTACTATCTAAAAGGATTCAGTTGTTAGTAAGATGGTAGCAGAATTAGGTGATATAAAAGTCTTTGGCATTGTAAAAGAATTGGAGGAAGCAAAAAAAGAATATCAATAAGGCATATAAGCTGGAAAAACTATGATTTTAGGTGAATAGGATAAATAAATAACTGATTTAAAAAAAGTAAAGATTGGTTGTTTAGCTCCTGGAAAATCTTTAAAAATAACTTTTGAATATATTCAGCCTTTAAAAGTTTATTTAAATTAATTTTGGATGCTTGAATTATCGCCAATGGTAGATTCAAGTTATCTTACAGTCTATTAGTTAAAAAACTAATCAGTCAACTATCCTTAATTATATAATTAAATATAAAAAAGTTTGAATTTTCAAGGTCTCTAATAAAACTATTAATAAGATATCACAATAAATATTAATTTATAGAAACCTATAACATTTGTAAAGTCTCCAACCCATTAAATTTTAATTAATAATGATGATAATTAATTTGTCAAAGAAAACTTTACAAAAAATTAAATAATCATTCTTGATAAAAAATATCCAAATAACTTTCTCCCAAATAAAAAATTTGAGCTGTTATTTTCATCTGATGATGTCAATTCACCTCATTCTTTTCTTACTCATACTAATAATGATGCCTTATAACATATTAAATATTGTGCTACCTTAACATTAATACCAAAATTTAATGAAGTACCTTTGGATGATGCTTATTCATCATACATAAATGGGTTAAATTTATCTTCAGAAACAAAAATAAATAGAGGAAATTATTATTTTTTTATTGATAGAAGTGGTTCGATGGAAGGGTAAAGAATATAGAAAGCAAAGCAATCATTAATTTTATTCTTAAAAAGTTTACCAGAAAATAGTTTATTTAATGTTATATCTTTTGGAAGTTAACCGAAAAGAATGTTTGAAAAATCTTAAGTTTATAATTAGAAATCTTTAAATGAAGCAATTTCTTAAGTAAATTCTATGGACGCAGATTTAGGAGGAACTGATATTTTTTCAGCATTGAAGAATGGCATTTATAATGATAAAGATAGTAAAAGTCATTTAGAAACTTATAATGCTTTTTTGTTGACTGATGGAGAAGATTCTCCAGAATAAATTTTAAATTTGGTTCAAAATTAAACTAAATCTAATTTTAGGATCTATACATTAGGAATTGGAGATGGATGTAGTTAGTATTTATTAAAAAATATTGCAGAAATTGGAAATGGTAAATGTCAATTTGTCGCAGATAATGAAGATATTAATGTTAAAGTAATTGATTTGTTAGAAGATTCTATGACTTAATATTTGGAGGGATTTAAGTTAGAATTACCAGAAATTAATATTTCATAAATTATTCCTGATCCAGAATCAATCACTGCTATTAAAAAAAATGAAGAATTAGTTATATAAATATTATTTCCAACTCCAATCTAAGATTCACTAGACTTTCAGATTAAATGTTTTGACCCTTAGAAATAAAAACAAATATCTTACAAATTCGAATTGAAAATAAATGAATCATAGTAGTAAGATTACTTTCATAAACTTGCAGCTCATAAATTGATAAATTATTATGAATATTCTTTATAAAACAGAATAAATTAAGTCAATAAGATAAAGGTCAATTAAGTTACATTCAATAATGAAGATATCATCAATTTATCAATATAAAATTAAATTTTATCCAAAAACACAGCTTATATTTGCTAAATCTGTCATTTGGAAGATGAATTTAAATAATTAATTAAAGAAAAAATATTCTATCAAAATCAAACTTTTCATGTATAATAATTGAGAAAAGGTTCAGATTACTCTATTTAATAACGTATAGATTTAAACCCATCGTTTGTTATGAATAAGCTTGATTGTTTAGATATATAATGTTGTATTGATATTGAAGAGTGTTATGAATAAGAATAATGTTGTATGGATTTAATGTTAGGCAGTATATAACAAAATATGTGTATGGATAGAGAAGATTTAGATTCATATGAGTAAATGAGTTGTAAAAGTCCTCCGAGTGATGAAGATGATTAACCGCAAAAACTAATGTAATTTGAGTAAATGTAGAAACGAAGCAGTCTTAATAATATCATTATTCCAAATAGTTAAGAAACTGCTGTTGAAATAAATTATATTGATTTATTATAATGTGTTTAGGCAGATGGAAGCTTTATTTTAAACAAAAAGTTTGGTGATTCAATCAAACTCAGCAGCTTAAATAATGATAATCATTATGAAGAAATTTTATGGACAACAATTATTGCTCTATTTTATTTAGAATTGCATTGTATAAGTGATAAAGCCTCATGGTAATTAATTTATTAAAAAGCAATTTTATTGTTAAAGAAAAATGGGTTAGATTACTTTAAGATAAAAACAGAGTATTATAATAATTATTAAAAATTGTTTGAAGTTTCAAATTGAAATAAAAATTCAAATATTATTATTAAAAATTAAATTTTAATTCATATTCTAATATCCACATATTCAATATTATATATATTATAGATTTCTTAAATTAATAAAATAATTATTTTAAAGTAAAATCTTAATGATAATTTTTAACAAATAGAATTATATTCCTCAACTTCAAATTAGAGAATAAACAAAATATGGAGGAAGTGTGCTCTACTAATTTTTATTTAACCATATCATTATGGAGTCATCTCAAGATCATGAGATGAATTAATTCTTTAATATCTTGAAGAAATCAAGTTTAAAGATAGAGTCATTATATCCTTTTAATATTTCTAAATTAAAAAAAGTTTATTCTCAATTAATTCAATATTCAGGTTATTTGATAGAATTCTATGCTATTATATCAAATGTAAATGTTTAATTTTTTGTTTTTAAGACTCCAACATAGAATTCTATACTCTGATTTTATCAATAATAGTCATCATTTCTAAAATTTGCTGAAACTCTTGATATTCTTAAAAGGAATTAAATTACTCTAAGTAGATACTCATTTGATAACTTTATAATACAGAAATTTGATGAAGCTGGATAATTGTTAATTTTGAATCTCTTTCGGTTTCTTTATTTTAAGAATTCAATAGATTATCAAGTTCTTTGATCATAATCTCCATCTAATATTAGTTATTATTAAAAGTTTTCAAGTCTTTTATCCAATTAGAGCTAATTTATATTACTAACTCTAATTATGAATTTATATAGGATCTAATTTGACACATATTACTCTAAAGTTTAAGTAGATTAATAATTTAATACTAAACAAAGTCGAAATCATATATTATTACAATGTTATTAATTAATAATTTAGAAATTAATTTTACTTATTATTGGGTTTATGATTGTCTTTAAATTTTACAAAAATTATTCAATTTTATATTTTAAGTTATCAGACTATAAAATAATTTTAATAATGACAATAATATTTCTAGTTTAAATAATGGTTTTCATATTGATAAGCCAATTGTATAACTTAAGTTGCAGATAATGAAACTGCAATTTTAGCAATTTTTATATATTGCTATTAATTTTGATTTAGCGAAACCTTTTTTGATAATCTGACCGTATGAATTTTATTGATATCACATTTGACTTATTTTTTGTTTGGTTTACTTAGCAGTTCTTAGAATGAGCTGAGGAGTTGGCTTTAAGGTAAATATAAGATTTAGATGATTAAAATTTTGAAAAGGTAAAAATCTTTATTTTGGATTAGTGGAAATCTCTCTAAACACATCAGACAATTCACTAAAATTAACTGAAAATACTTCTAATGAAGCTATTGATATGATGTAAACTATCCATAATAGAAGGCTAGGACCAATAATTTTTGGAGAACAGCCGAACCAAGGTATTAGAGCAAAAATAGACATAATTTTATTTTGAACAGGAGAAAGTGAGACTAAGGGGGTTTTAGATTATATGTGAAAGGTATTCTCTCAAGTTTATAAAATAAAATGAAAAACTTCCAAATTATGGTTATTGAACAGAAACAAGTAAAGCTGGAGTAAGTGCAAGGAATCTTAGGTTTAGTGTCCATTTAGTTATCTCTAAGTTTATGTTTTTTTCATTGTTAAAAGACTTCTAAACCCTATATAAATATGTTTAAGAAGGAGTCGATAAAAAGAACCAAAAATAAATATTAAAATGTTTATTTAGAAGAAGGTCTCTACTTAAAAATGTAAAATTTGAATTAGAGAGTTAAAGTTTTAGTAAAAAAATTTTCACTAAAGGATGCAAAATTACGATATATTGTGAACAATAATTTAATTTAATAATTGAAAATTTCTTTGAATGAAACTTCAAATTACTAAAATTTTAGTTTAAAGGAATAGAAAAACTGTGCATAAATGCACCAGATCATTAAATATACAAAAATTAGATAATCACAGTTTTTTTTTTATATAAAGAGAAATATTTTCATCAATTTTTATTATATAATAAATTTAGCATCTATAATTTTTCAAAGCAGTTGCTGGAATGAATAAAGGGAAGAATATCAATTGCCTAATTATCAATTTTCAATTAGGATTAATTTTATAAGCTATCTTGATAATTAATCAAAAATTCATGTTTTAGTAATTCCTATTATTCTAAAAATATGTTTTATCTAAAAGTAGGAATCAATTTTTATTTTAAAAATCTTGATATTCTTATGAATCTATTTCTTACTAACTATAACTGTAAATATATCATATCAGGAATTAATTAATTAAATTTTTCCTTTCTTCCTTCTGTCACAACTAAAAAGTTTGGGTTTCTATTGCATTCAAAGATCCAAAGCTATAAGTTTTAATCTAAAATAAAATCAACTCCAAAGAATTCGCCCACTCTACTATCAATAAAAAGTTTATGTTTAACAGAATTAAAAAGATGAAATAATTTTAAAGAAATTTGAGGCATAAGGTAATCATTTAACCAATTTTTTGATATTACTAATCCATCTTCAATCAAAAGATCTTGTAATTCTTCTAAATTCCAATCAATATAATATTCATTATTTTATTATTTAATGTCTTCTTTAAGAGATTTAGTGATTGCTGTATTACAAACATGAGCTTCTTTTGAAAAATCTGTTAAATTAAATTTTAATGCACATTGCTTAATTAAAGCTTTTTTATATCCATATAAGATTGGAGGATTTGTTGAGGCTATTTAAAAATATGATCGAAATTCCATTTTATGTCCCTTTAATATTCAAATAATATACCTTAAACAGATAAGGATTTTTTATGTATTCTTGAATGATTACATTTTAATTATTTTTTCCACAAAAAGTTCCATTATTGTATTATTTTCTGATTAATTATTCATTTTCTTTATCAACAAGTAAAACTCCTCTTCCCAAATGTTTATTAGTTTTATATATAAATTATAACCCTTCCTTTTATAATTAATTTTAATATTCCAAAGAATTAATGATTGAAAAAAACTATTAACATTCTTCTTACTCCCACATCCTATATGATTTTTTCTAAAAAGTTGCTTCATTTACACATTCTTTAGATGCATTGACTTAGAGTAGCTAAGTTAAATAACTTCTTAAGTTTAAAGATTATAATGATTTTAAAGCTATTTCTTCTTATCCAGGTACATGCATATATTTTTAAAATAAGCATCCTGCTTCTTTTCCTAAGAAATGTGTTCTCAAATACGTTTTTGCATAAGGGTATAGGACAGATGCTCTCTAATTTAAGATTAATAGCAATACTAAATCAAGGTTAATATATTAGTCTTATTCAATTGGACCTGACTGAGTAAAGTTAGGGCTGACATCAAACATTTAGTTTCGAATAATAGATCTAGCTAAATCATTTCCTCCATAATCTCGAAAAACATAACTATCTTCTAAAACAATTTATGGGTGAAAAATTTTATAAAGATCGCTTTTCAAACAATAAAATGGATCCTTTTTTATCGCAAGTTCATAACCGCAATTTCTAAAATTAAATTATTTTTACAAACAAGGTTGAAAATATGTTCCACTAGTATCAGTTTCTTATTCAATCCAATGTTAAATAATTTTTATTGCAGTCATATACTCAAGAATTTATTTATTGTATGATTGAATAAGGTATTAATAAGTTAGCATTTAAAGTGACAATATTATCAAAGTAGCTAAGAAAATTGAAAATTTGTAAATCATTTTGATATATTCAAAATAATAAAATATAATTATTAAAAAATATTCGATGAAATTATTTGATGATGAGAAATCTAAAATAATTAAAAATAATATAACTCATCCACCTCTTCTTTTAATGTAGTGAAACCAATTATCAATCTATCTCCAAGTATCATTTAAAGAGATAATAATCTCTTATTTAAATTTAGCAGTTGCTTCTTAATCTGAAATATTCAAAGCCAATTAATCTTCAATATATTTAACATTTGATGCCTATTATAACTCTGGCATTCCTGCAGAAAGATTCATTAAAAAGATATTTATTAAAAAATGTCCATGTTTTCTAACTAAATTGTATGCATTCGTGCAATCTTGCTGAAACTTTTTGAAAAGATCTCCATCTCTTCCTCCCATTACAAAAGCCATCTATAATCATATAATATATTTTACTTCTTCTGTCAAAACAAATTTAGTTCTTTCTCTCTTTATTCCAAATTTTTATTTAAAATTACCTAAAAAATGACCAAAATCAATATGAAATAAATGGCCTGTATCAGTAATCATTATGTTACCTGAATGTCGATCTCCAATTCCTAATACATAAGTTGCAACACAATAACCAGCACAAGAACGTAAAAAATTATCAGTTGCTGTTTCAAAAGATTAAGGTTCAGTATTTTTTGTTTTTAAATGATTCCATATAGTTTTCTATTAAAATGCACCCATCACACCTGCATCTCCATGAATTTTTTCAATTGTTAAACTATTAGTGACAACTTCTATCATACCAACATTGTCTTATGTTGAAATAGTTTTATAAGGCTTCATTCTAAAATCTAAACCTGCATCTAACCAAATTTTATCCATAATTTTAATTAACTGTAACGTCAACATATCTTACCTTATATCGTCCCCTGTTTTAAACATTATTTTTAGAAGTGTTGATTATTTTGAATCTATATTTTATTAATCATTTGCGTGTTCTTTTTATTTAACATCATCAGGCATAATGTTAATTTATATAACACCTTCTTCACTTGCTTTCACAATCTTTTAAGGTTGAGAAATCTATAAATCCTCATCTTCTTCTATACATTGGGGAATTACTGATAGCCATAAAGGCATTTTTTTTGAATCCATAACCTTACATTCACTCATTTTAAATTATTAAGCTTCCATTCTTGAATCTAAAGCAAATGAGAAAGGCTTTGGTAGTTTAGGAAAAAGTTAATGCAGTTCAGCTTATAAAAATGAAACTCTATTATCTTTTGGTATATTTTCTTCTTTAACTTTTTATGCAATATTGTAAAGCTCATTATCAACTAGAACTTCATTCATTAATTATTATCTGAATTCTCCACAAAGCATAAGTAATTATTCTAATAAAAGAGAATATCTTTCATACGATGGTCTAACATGTAATTAGGCTTTAAGCAACCAAAATAATTCATGACCCACAACCCAAGGATTTTATAGACTTCTTTCTAGCAACATCTCGGCTAATGGATTGAAAAGATGTTTCTCAAACATCAAGCATTGAGTTAATTCTAACATATATAATTACAGTTCATCATCAGACAATATACTAACTCTTTCAACAGCATACAATCGAACAGTTTCATCAGCAAATGGAGCATCTAATAATGGAAGTGCATCTTCTGGAGGTAAAGGAGTCCATAACTTTATCATATTATGTGCTTCCCTTACTTATTCAGGATCATCCCATTCTATAGCCATTAAAAATATTTAAAGAGCATATGGTAAAGTTTTGTAATGATTTCTACAAATCATTAGAATGTACTTATGTTAGTCAGTAAAATATGGTCTATTTAAAGGATTATATTTTAGTAAGGCTTATAAAATAGCCAAATCTTCAGTCCTCGGAGTAGTTGACCAATTTTTAAATGTTACTATTTAATTGTAACTCTCACTCACTGGTTGATTTTATGATATATTTTAGGATGAAAATTAATGGCTCAATTTGTATGAGCTAAATTAAGAACTTGATTATTCATGAATATTGAAAGAACTTCCTTGTCCCATATGCATTACTGAAGGAGCAATGTGAGTATTCCTCTCATTAAACTCTCCAAATCTCAGAATTGTTCCCTACTCTTAGGATGTAAACCCAACTTAGGAATATTGCTCATAAGGGTTTGTATGTTATCTTTAATGAATATTAGTTGTTGCATAAAGAGAATTTCCTGCTACTACTCCTCTTTATTTTTTACTAAAGATGTGGGACCCACCACTTAAACTGTTTGCAGAACTAAATGAGTTTGCTGTCGTTGAATAATTACTTTGATATAGGGTTCCAAACTATTCAGAAGCCAATGTAGAGGATTACATTTATTAATATGTCGAATAATCAGAATTAGGGATAAGTGTATTTCTCATTTCATAGTATCTCTAGCTTCTTGCTGATTTCGAGAATCCAAGTTCTTCCAACTATTTTTCATCTCTTAAACTCCATTTCATTGGTAAATTGAATTGATCTAATTATATTATTAATCTTCCATAAGAATTTGTAATTAAATCTGTAGTAATTTATGTTTATTATTAATTAGCCCAGCCATAATATTGACCTACACAAAGTAATCTGGGATCAATTTTATAAAAAGGCCATATATTCAATTAATTCATGTGAACTCGAAATCTCTTCTCCTCAGAAAAAATATACATAGTAGTGCAGCCTATAATTTATTGTTATCCTATGGCGCTGTGTGCTATTATATTGAAGCAAAGTCTTGCTTCTTAAGGTAATTATGAGATCTTTATTCCAGGAAAAGTAACCGATTAATAAAATTTAGGAGAGTGACTGAATGGCTATTTCTTTGTTTCAGCTTAACACCATGGTGTCAATAGTTTACAACCATGATATAAACAAACTTAAACTGATATTAAAAATGGTAAAAAGTCTAGTTCATATCTTTCTTAAAAAGTCTCTAATTCGTCCAAAAAATCTTATCCTCCAAATGGAATTTATTTACGTATATCAAGATTTCTAGGATCTAAAACTCTTCCAGTTCTTTTATGCAATTTTAGATGAACCTGTCTACCTTTATTTTATTCTCTATCTTCTGATTTATTATTTTTGGTTTTATGATTATCATCTTCAACTTTTGTACTAGTTTTTTTTGTAATATATTGTGGAGGTATTAATCCATTGTAGGTTGCCCTTAATTAAGGTTTTTCAAATTTATTATCCTATTCAAGTACTTAAACAAGATTTTCAATTGAACAAATTCTGACACTAAAAGGCCAGTCACATTCTCCAGAGTAAAGAATATTTTGATCAATTTACAAAATATTTTATCTAAATAATTCATTTCTCATTGAAACCAAATCATTAATATATCCAACACCTTTTTTATTTCCTTATTCTTAAAAGGATTATTTTTATGGGTTATCTCCAACAGATTATCTTTTAATCTTTTCACTGCATTCTAAATTTGAAATATTTTCTTGACTAGAGCCTCTAGGTTTATCTGATTTCAATTAATAATTAGGTCCTATTCCAAAAGATAATCTAGTGTTGATTACTTCAACTTCATATTTTGGTAATGGAGAAGGAGCATACCATAATAAAATAGGAACATCTTTAAATTTCTTCCATTCAATTGGAGAATATTAATCAGCACCTTTTATTCTTTGAATAATAGGAGGAAATAATGAGGATTAATCAGTTTATTTTGGAACTTCTGTAAGAATAACTTCCAAATGCTTCATTCCTCTTAATTATACTCTAACTCTATCATAAGATAACATAGGATGATTGCCTGTTAAAAATTCCTTAAATCCAGCAATTTGTAAAATAAATTAGTTTTTTTCATCTTTTGGTTTTAACTTCACTTTAAATCTTTAATAGATTTCTCTTAAAACATTTTTTATTACTTCATCAGCACCAGTCACTAATCCTGCTTCAATTTCAACAATATTAGGTTTTTCTAATAATTGAACTTCAGGTGACATATTTACAAATAATTCTTTGTATTGATTCAATTTCACTTAGAGTTTGATTGAATTAACTTTAACAAAGGCTTAACTTAATGTTGATTAACAAAGATAAGTTGGAATAGAGGAGGATTATTTATGTAATAAGTATGATGGAATTTTTCTTCTTCGGTATTATTCAATTTATTTAGATGCCATACGCCAAGTACCTATATAGGATTTATTATCTCACCTGATTTCAATTTAAGCATTTATTCAATTTATTAAATAGCTTGAATAGCTTTTTATCTATATTCTTAATCAACTTCATATTCAATTTTGAATTCATTTGTATTTATATTCAAAGTATAAATCTAGCAGCTGTCTGGATCAGCACATATTAACCATCTTTCTTCTATTTATTATTTATCCATTAATGGCAAAAAAAAATTATTATTAAATAGCCTAAAACTTTTTTTATGTTTACTGATTAATTAGAAAATATATTGAATTTTTTAAATGTTTATTTATAAACTCATTTTTATCATTCTTTTCCTGCTTATGCCTTAATCTCATATAATTTAATCAAACCTTCACACAGTCTCTTGGTAACTCTTGCTTCTGTAACTCCAAATTCTGGCAGATGGAGAAATATCAGCCGTTCCTTCCTTCCTTATCCATTGCAGAATGTTCACCTCTACATCCTCTTGCTTAAAGTCCAAATTATTTGGCAATCTCTTTCAATTTTTTTTCATCTGTTCCTTAATTAGTAATATTTGGGAATTTTCCAAGAATTGATTGTCTCTTTCCTGTTCCCATGTTAGTAGGACATGTTTTTATTACTCCATATACTGGATGCTTTGCAAATTCTAATCCACTTTTTTCAATTCCTGTTAATAAATCATGTAATGACTTATCAACCTTTCCTATATCATTACCTTAGACAATAGAAATAATTCTTAATAAATCCTTTAACATTTCTTGCAACTCTGGCTCTCATTGACACTTTTTCTAAAGTTGGATTGATTTTAGTTAAAACAGATTCATCAATTAGAATATTCCAATCATACTCTTGTTTTGTGTCTCCTTATATTTAATGGTAGTCTCTAATTAATTATTACAAGTAGATGGCATAAAAATCATAATCTTCAGGTCTAGTAGCACAAATGCCAACAGAGCTGTCATCATTTGTCAATCCAGCAAGCATTAAATCAAGTAATCTTTATTGATCTTATTATGGGAGAGCTTTAACTTTTTCAACAATTTCTGGAGTGAAATACTTATATTCCCAAACTCACTTTAACAGATTTTAAATCATCCCATCTTGCTTAGATTTTTGCAAAATCTACATTTCCATCTGCATCTAAGTAAAGTATGCTAGCATCTTGGTTAAAAACACACTATATTTAATTTCTATAATATTGAATATTTTTCTATATAAATAAGAAAATCTTGCATTATTTATTAGACACATCACAAAATTCAGATAAGACCAGAATTAAATATTAATTAAAATTAAATATTATAAATTATATAATTCTGAAAATAAAAAGATTTGATAATCTTTTAATATTACAAGCACCAAATATGTTAATAAATTTAAATAAAATGAATAATTTAACTTTCACAGTTTCACTTTTCGAATGGAAAACTATTTTTAGATTTTTTTTCTCTCTAATTCATTCTTTTTAAAAATATCTCTTTAATAAAATTAATTATTCGAAATATCAGTTTATAATCTTACCGAAGCTACACTTTTACGAAATTATAAACTTTTTGAACTAAATTATTCATGTGATTATATTTTATTATGAATCAAATCTAAATGATTTCCTGGGCCTAAAAGCAAAAAAGGATGAAATAATGCTTCTTACGAAGTTAATCTTTAATTTGGGGATTTAGCCAAAACTTTTGATAAAAAGTCAAGACAATTAGGTGATAAATTTAAATGTGATAAAGCAATATGCCCATATGTATTTTCTTCAATTAGACCATCCATAGTTTTTGATTGGAAGGGCTCTTTGCCTGTTAAAATCAAATACAACACTAAACCTAGACTATAGACATCAACTTTGAAATCATAAGAATGTCCAAGTAAGATTTCTGGGGCAACATATCCAGGAGTTCCACATTAAGAGAATAAATATTCATTTTTATCATTCCAAAAATCAGCTAAGCCAAAATCAATTATACAGGCTGTTTCTAATTTACCAGATTAATGTAGCATTATATTCTAAGGTTTAATATCTCTGTGAAATATTCCTTGTTTATGTAAGAGTGAAAGAGCTTGAAAAAGTGGTTTTATTATTAAAATAGATTAAATTTCAGATAATCCTCCCAATTTTAAAGAATAAACTAATTCAGATCCGGCTAATAAATCCATTATTAAAGTAAGGTGAACTTTACACTCAAAAACCTCATATAATTAACAAATATTAGGATTAGAAAAGAGTCTTGTAATTTAGACTTCTTTATTTAACATTAGAATTTATTAATCCTCCAAAATGATTTTTTTTTTATAAAATATTTTTGCAGCATATTCTTTATTGTTTTGCTTATGCTTAACTAAGTATACCTTAAATTACATGAAAAATTACATCAGCAAATGTTCCATTCCCTATTTTTTTTGATATTTTGTAATTTCTTGAAAAATCACTTTATATCACATATTTTTTCAATTTTTTAATCCATAACTTGCATTCCCCTATAATTGTTAAACTTCCATCATATTTTACTAATTTAAAGCCAACTAATTTATTTTATGAATTATGAATTAAGTCCAAGAAACTATTTTCGAAAAGAATAATTTTCTAATTCATCTATATACTTTTTACATGTTAACTATATCTTATATATTTTTCATAAAGGGTTAATTATTTTATTTTATTTTTGGAATCTGACTCAATTTTAAACTTTTGTTAATCTATTGGTTATGAAGAATCATAATCTTAGTGTATCCATAGAGCAATTCCATCATTGAAAATAGAATCCTTCTAAAGTAATTAATTGCACTAAAAGTTTTAATCATTTCCTATTAACATTTTTATTAATACATCATAAAGATAAATATAGTTCTAATACCTCAATTAAACTAGATTAATAATTTTAAAAGCAATTTTTGATGGTTTGATAATTATTAATTGCAAAACCCAAGTAAAGATTATTTTTTTGTTTTAATATACATTTCTTAGCCATAAACAATGTATCTAATGTTATAGAAATATAATTTATAAACTATGATAAAAGAAATAACTGAAAACAAATTATTTATACTATTATTTATATTAAAGCATTAAAATGTGGAATCTCCTTTACTAAAATCCTATATGTTTCAAAAAGAAAACAGCTCAAGTACATAAATAAATAAATTAGGATTAACTAAAACACATTACAACTATTTAAACAGCCAAGTCCTGCCTTCATCTTTAACCTCCTTGGTAATCAACGCATTCATTATAAAAATTATCCAATAAATATACACATAGTATTTGATAAACTCTAACTTCTCTTAGTTTAAGATTTAGATATTGTTAATCAAAACCTTATTCTTATGTCTAAAATGAAAGAGATTTAAAAAAAAAAAACTAGTTTTAAAATTCCAACATCATATGCTTCAATTGATAATTTAAGAAAAAAAGAGACTACAAAAATAATTTAGGAAAATTAAACTTTATTGAAAAGGCTTTAATCAGCCCATTCTTAATATCCTGTTAAATTTCTCAAAAAAGATAATGAAAGATTAAAGTAATATAGAGAAAATTTATAAAAAACAAAAAGTAATTCTTAAAATAATAAAGGAACTTATAATGATTTTAATGTGTTAGCATAATAAGAATTTTAAAGAAAATTACTCTATTCATCACAATCTTAACGAAAATGTAATTTATTAATATTAATTAAGTTTTACAAACTAGTGAAAGAAATAGATAAAACACATGTTAAACAGTTCCATCTTAATTGTGAATTTAACTTGTATGCAAATTGTATTAATAATTTTAATTTTTTAAATATTTAATACAAATTATAATCTTATGTTAATAATCACAAAATATCTAATTGTTGAATTAACAATATATTCTTTATATTAAACAGTTATAATTTTAAGATATTAATCCTATATATTAGGATTCTCTCAAATTTAGCAATATTATGTGTCAATCAGATATGATTTTAAAATGTTATTTTATAAAAATACTTTGGAATTATATTCAATATAAATCATCTTAAAATCTATATAAAATCTTCACTTTTTAAGTAATATCTGCTTTACATTCTTTACAATCTACAGGATCACACTCTTCACAAATCAATGTTATATGGCCATTTGAACATGATATTAATCTTTAGCTCATTAAAGTGTCACAAATTTTACAGTAAATAGTCTAAAAATCTAACTTTCCCTCTTTTTATTATTCATATATAAGTTTTAATAATTTTGGAATTTTTTCATCTTCTATTACTTTGAAAGTATTGATTTAACAAATTTAATCATTCCTTTTTGATAATTAATCAAAAATTTTCTAATCCAAATATATTACAGAAAGGGAATAACAATTAGTTAAAGTTCTATTACAATAGAAACACTCTTTAGATTCAAGGCATAAATCAACACATTCACCACAATATCTTAAATGGCCACATTCTTTTAATACTCGATTGACTTATTTAGTTTTACAGATTCTACAAAATTATCTTAAATCATGATTATCTCTTAGAATCATATTTTAAGTGATTTGAAATTTTGGAATAGGAAAATATTATGCTAATTCTATTTTTCTATTTTTCATTTCTAATATATTGGTAATTTTTCCATAAAAAACAACTGTTTAGTATGGATTAATAAAACTAATTTAATATATAAAAATACAAAACAATAGGCTTAGATACAATATTTAAAAGTTTGCTTTAATCATCTTGAATAATTTTTAATGCTAATTTGCAAACACAAAAATTAATATCTTTTGGATTTTCATTAATATTCACATTATTTTTTTATTTGATGCCTATTAATTAAATAGGATTATTATGGCTATTTTATATTCCAAATTCCTAATCGTAAAATATCATTTTAAGTTATCCCATTTTTCTAAACACATCTCTAGGAGGTAAGATTGGTAATTCACATAATTATATTTCAACTTCTAATGTATTAATTTCTTCTGGACAAAATTGATAACTGCATAATATTCCTTTTAATTATTTGTTATCTTCAAATTTAACAAAAACTATATATTATAAAATATATTTACTTTCACCAGATTAACTAATATTTATTTATTAAATCCAAGCCTTATCTTTTATTGATTTTAATAGCTATCCCACATATAATGCCCCTTTAAGGACTTTTATAACATGAACTGCTTCTTCATGTCTCACTACAATACATTCTGTGTCATCAATTAATTTTGATGTTTAATTAATTTCATTATGAAAGAATTTTTTAATTTCATTTTATTCACAATTTTTTACAACTTTTAATGTTGGATTTTTTAATGAAAAGACATTTCTTTCATCTTCAAGTTCTCTTTCTTAATCATCAAATATCGATATAATAGTTTATTCTAATTTTGTAATAGCTTGCTTATATTTTTATAATTTAATTTTTTCCAAAGAAACCAAAACCTATTGATATCTATAAAAATAGTAAATAATTTTACCCTAATAATTTCAGTGTTTTAAATATTGTATAATTAGAATCCAAATTATTTGTTAAGTGTTCAACTTTATTTAATTTAGTTAAATTTGTAGGAAATTAATCAAGTATCACTACAGCCTTATCATATTTCCATAATTCTTTTTATTGTTAATAAATATCAGATGTTACAAAGTAGGTAGAAGCAAATTAATATATTTCAGCAGCTTATATTTGTTATTCTTATGAAAATGCTATAAGTACTATATTCATTTATATAATTAATATTAAATACTTCAAAAGAATTAATATTTATTATAATAATTTAAAGTAATAATATTCTTACATAATTTAAAAGTGTAGTAAATCAATAAATTTTATATAAAAAGTATCAAAAAAAGAATTAAACTTTAATATTTAAACATATTTATTAAATAAAACTTGTATTTTATAAATATCATACAGTTGGATCATCTGGAAACAGATAGATAATTTTTTATTTAATTAGCAATTATTCCTTGCATGTCTAGCATTCTTAAATTTAACAATCATCACAAAGTAAAGTTTAATGATTTTTACTACAAATAGAGTATTATGTAATTCTTGAATCACAATTATCACACTTAATTTCATACTAAAAGTTTTATTCCACATTTATTTCATTATTAATAATGATAAATGGCAACATATCTTTTGAAGGATTACCTGCAAAATATTCAAAAATTTATTATTATGTCATTTATTTGAGATTTTGTAATTATTATTTTGTTAGATGAATATTGAAACTTTGAATGCTATCACTAGGTTTATCACAGTATAAGCACTGTTTTGCTTCCATACATATATCTTTACAATCATTGCAATATCTTAGATGTCCACAATTAGTAGGAACATATCTTGCCTTTTCAGTTCTACATACTCTACATCTTTGACGATAATCAACACCATTGTTGATCATATTTTATAATGGAGGACTTGTCAATTCTGGAATTAATACAAACTTTTATTTTTGAGGCTAGGCTTTTGTAATATTTATTAAATCTTAATTTAGAATTTTGCCACTAAAAATTAATTATTATGGTAAATGTTTGTTTTTGATAATAAACAAGGTAAAATTTTTTTCAAGTATTTTTGGAGTAATGTAAAGTTGTTTAGTAAATCTAAATTACATTCCAAATGGTTTTGTTGTTATGTTCTTCATATCAACATAAGAATTATGAATTAGTTCTCCTAATATTTTCTTTTTCTCAAGCTAAACTTTAAAAATAATTAATAATTAATACATTCAATTCCATAAAAAAATGATTTTGAATCTGTTTTCTAAATCTTTTACATTACACCTTAACCAACTTTTTAAGGACAAATGAAATTTCCTTTGATTTCTTTAGTTTGTAAAAGATATTTATCTTAATTTAATCCAAATAGAAATCCATCAATTTTCTTGTTTAAATTAAATTAAAATTCAATTATATCTCCTTTTTATGCATAATTTATTTCTTTTTTTGAAAAGTAATCAACAAATTTTGTAATTTATACTTTTTATAATGCACCTTATTCTTGATAAAGCACAGTTTATCCATTTAATACAAATCCATTAATAACTTGTGCTGTGCCTTTATTCACATTTGTTTCTTATACCATTACTAGGATTAACTCAGAATTTGCAATATCCCCATCATTTTTGAAAAAGTTCAATAAATCATTCTAAGTTGGTTGACTTTAAGTTTTAATTTCAGGGATAGGGAAACCTAATTTATTTTATTCTTATAAATCATTAAATCCTTCATCATTAAAAATTGAATTCACTTCTTGATTAATCCAAGCATATAAATTTAATAATTATGTGTCATTTGAATTAATATCATTTTCATCATATACAATAAAGATTTATTTATAACTAAACTTAAATTTAGATTATATACTTGTAATATTACAATAATTTGATCATTCTAAAATTATATTTATCCATATTGTATTAATTTAATTCTAAATCAGTTAAAATTAAGATTGCATATTCGAACATTGAAAGTTATTATAAGCATTTAAGATCATCATTTAAATTCATTTATTGGTAATAAAGATTAATAATTTTTCCATTATCCTCTAATTTATTCAAGTTTATCCTTTTCAAGAATCTTTATGCTATTTCTTCATTTTCAGAAATTAAAAGAGCTGTTACAACTTGATGTTGAACTTAAATCATTATTTTAATTCTTTAATATATAAATAAATTTGGAATTATTTTTTAGGAAATTTATACAAAAAAAATTAACATCATTTAATATCCTTTCCTTTTGATAAAATAAAATAATATATTAGATTTCCTAATAAAAATCCTGTTCTATAATCTTCAATTGTTGGATTATAATCAGTAATATCCAAACTTACACAATATTTACCTGCCAAATATACTATTTCAAATATTTCTTCTACACTTAAACCTTACACACAAGGCCTACTTACTCCAGGACAAAAAGCCGACTATAATACTTATTAAAATATACATCAATGGCTTCTAGAGAAATAGAAATATGAATTCTTTTCCCTTAAATATTTGTAATTATTTATTTAAACAAAATTCCAGCCTAAGTAACTTATTATTCAATATCTTAATGAAATGCCTTCTATATTTACCTAATCTTCTATAAACTAATTCCATTGCATTTTTCATTTATATAATTTTCTTATTCTTAATTTAATTTGCTATTATCATATCCAAAATAGGTAATTGAAATTTTACTTGTTGATGCTCTTAAACCTGAATTAATACTAGGTTTATTGCCATCATATGGTAATTAAATATCTGGAATATGATTTATTGATATGACATGTAAATCATCATTAACAACACCAAAAACACAATCTTTAGATCCACCTATTACTATTGGAATGTGATTCTTATTTTGTACTATTTTCACCTTATTATTTAATTTCTCTAAAAGTTTTTCTAGATTTTAATCATCATCAACATGAATATTTCCATAATCAGAAATTATAAAATTACTAATATCTTTCATATATTCTGCATTTCTTAATGGACCAATCCTAGGCAAAAATCGTCTTAAAGAATCAGGTCCATGATCTTATCCAATTCTAACATTGTCTCTTTTGGCTCCTATATGATGTGGAAAACCTATTATCACATAATCTCCATCTATTCCTTCTACAATTTTTAATCTAGGGTCGTCTGACATTTATTTTCTTTTTATTATTAATAATAATGTTTGAATTTAATTAATTAGAGAATGTTCAATTAAGAAAGCACAGTGAACTTCATTAAATATATTATTTAGATTGTGATCTTATTGTAATGCTTGTAAATTTTAATACTACTTATTATTTTGATGTAATATAACTATAACTTAAAGTCAGTCGTAAATTAATGTAATATTTCCTATAATAATTATATTAGAAAAATTGATTGTATTCCTGTTTTTGCATTTATATGTGGTAAATCTAATATAGGTTTTGCCCATTATGATTAAAAAGGTACTCTTATAATTGAATCATTTGATTTTCTCTAAATGAATAAAGTAAAAACAAATCTTTAGTTTATGAAAACTTTACCAAACTTTTTATCCTATTATTTTAAAATAACCTAATTATGTATGTTATTATTACATAATGAAAATGGTTCAATTATTTGTTATTTTTTTAATAGTAATTTAGAAATTAAGTCTTATTTTCATCTCCTAGATAAATCAAGAAATTAACACTTATAATAAATTTTTCAATTAAATTAACATAACTATATTATATCTTTATATTTAGAAAATGATTTAGAAATACTATCAGAAATAAATTCGTAAGGAATTTAATCAAACTTAAAATCAAAGTATTTAAATGGTTAGAATTCTTTAAATGGATGTGCTTAATCAAATAAATAAATAATATTAGCTTTTACTCCAAAAAAAGATTCAAATTCTTTTATAGAATTTATTGATTAATAAAATGAATCAGTAAGAATTATTGAAATCAATTATTTTAATTATATTATAAGTATAGAATAAATATTGAATGTAAATGATTTATATGTTTGGTGTAAAATTTCAACTTAATCCGAAGATGAAATTGAATAAATATGTTTATTTGATATTAATACATTTGAGCTTGTTTCAAGAAAGATTTATCCAGATTATATGTTAGATATTTAATGTAATGAATCAATCATGATAGAAACTTAAATGAATTTATTTGATAGAATAAATTGTTTACAAAATAATCATGAAATACTATTAAATTAAGAATAAGATATTTAAAATTAATATGAATTCAATGATTTTGATGAGTTCTCAGAAATCACTATATTTTATAATCTTAATCCTATTTATTAAACAATAAAAATTATGAAATATTTAGAATTTGAAGAATACATTGTTGAATTAACTGCAAGAAAACTTAATCAAACTTCCAATAATCTTAAAAAGTAATTATTTGATTTTAATTGAATATTATGTTTTAATTTATTTTAATAAATTTCTTCTAATTAACATTTAATTTTTAAGGATTATAAGTTAGATTGTCTTAATAAAAATTGAAGTTTAAAATATAATAAATTAAATTAACATTTATAAAAATGAATAAAATTATTGATTCCATTGAAAAATTAGATCTCTTTGGAGTACCTGTAAACTTATTAACAAATGAAAATGAACCTAAATTTAAAAGTAAATTAGGAGGATTAATTTCACTTTTGGTTGGGAGTACTAGTTTGGTTTACTTTTTTTATATCATGATATTATGGATAAATAATGAAATTCCACCTAATGTGAATGCAAAATAACAAACAACTGGATATTCAGAATTTAAATGGACTGAACCTTTGATCACATTTAGTTTATTTGACTTTTCCTCAGAAATTGATCCTTTTAGAAAAGAAAAAAATATCATTACTCCTCTATTATTCACACTTGTTGATAGTAGAATTGAAGAATAACCTATTTTTTTATTTAGTACAGAAGAAAATCCTAGATAATTTGTTTTTGAAGAAGGGTCTTTAATTTTGAATAATGCTTATGGAAAGGATGAAATACATTAAGAGATGAAATAATATTTACTTGTATTTGCTGTTTGTTCAGATGAATTAAAAATAAATGGAAGAAATTGTGCAGATACTAAAGAAATATAATAATATATAGAAAAAGATCATGGATTTCTATTTTTAACAATTAAATTACATCAACTTAATTATATTACAAGAGAATTAGAATCTTTTGAGAAATAATACTATTCTGCTTTTGATCCAAGAAGAACAATGTATTCTTAAGTTATGTTAAAATAATAAGAAACTATAATAGATGATGGAATTCTTTTTGATAAATTGAGACATTATTTTTTCTTGAATAATTATGAAATTACAACTTAACCAGTTGATAGTGATTTTATGCCTTCCTAAATTTATTTTATGTCTAAAGGATAATTTAAATTAAATGCAATCAATTCTTATTTATTTAGAATTGACAATATATCTATAGTTGAAAATGTAATTATGCCTAAATTAGGATAAATATTAGCATAGATAGGATCAATAGTATAATTGATTTTTATCTTATAATATCTTGCTGTTTACTATAATAAATAATTATTTGAAAATTATTTAATTCATGATATCATAACAATGTATTATCCAGAATTTAAAGAATTATCATTAAATTGGTTTAATCAAATAAAATTCAATGAAAAAGAAAATTCTAAATTTCCTAAATAGAGTGTAAATTAAGCTTATAAAATTTTATAAAAAGGGGCAAAACAAAAATGTAGATTAAACAATATATTGTATGAAATATCAAGATTGCAATTTGTTTTTCAATAGCAATTAGGAAATAAAGTATTTTAAGTTTGTCATTCTTTAGGAGGGTTGATGTCTGAAAATTTATTTGAAAGTTTAAATATTAAAGAATCGAATCGAATGGTGGTTTATCCTTTTGATTCATTTGAATAAGATTAAAATAAAGTAATTAATATTGAACCTTTAGAATTATTAATAAAATAAAATTGAATTAAATTAAAATATTTTGAATTATTTACATATGTAAATATTATTGTAAATTTTAATCATTTGATCTTCTTTATAGAGTTTATACATTTACTAAAATTAATTTATTAATATATTTAATGTATTCTAGTGAAATTAAACATCAGATTTAAAATAAATATCATAAATTATAAAAAAATGATATACATCCATATGGAATTTTTTATTATAAAAGTTTGAATTATTGAAATAAATATTAAATGAAAGAATAAGTACAATATATAATTATAAAGATATTGATTTAATATAAAATATAAAAACAATTTAATTTGAATATTATTTTCATTTTTTAAATTTTGATACACGAAATGAATTCCATTAATGTGTTTTTGAGAATTTTAAATTAGCAAATCTATTTTCAGTTCTAGCTGATTTTGGTGTTCCTGGACTATCTGATGTAGTATCTATTGGGCTCTCGGAATGAAGTGATTTAATACTCTATTTTTAAGAAAATCTTGGACTATCTATGGTTCCAATAGGTATAATTTTACGAAGAGATCCATTAGATTATTATTTTTAAAGTTAAACTTAGGTTTTTATTCTAAATTATAATTATTCTGTTTAGAAGGTTCCTAATATAAAAGGATGATTTAATGCATCTCTTGCTGATATTCTTTTATGTTGATCAACTTTCAAACATTTCTTTAATAAATCAAGACATTCTGTAGAACATTTGACTTCAGAATAATCTATGTGACCATCATAATTAGCAGTAATTATTTATTCATAATTATATTGTTCTTTTATAAATGGATTCTTTTGTGTTAATAACATATATAATATAACTCCAATACTAAAAACATCTACATTCAAAGTATATTTTTTATCTTAAAGTATTTCTGGGGCTACATATCCTGGTGTTCCACATCGTGTAAAAAGATATTTATGATCATTACAATAAAAGTCAGCAAGAGCAAAATCAATTATTTATAATTATTCAATTTAATCTTAATTTTTAAACAAAATATTTTCTGGTTTTAGATCTCTATGGAATATGCCCAAATCATGTAAATAGACTATGCCTTATAATATTTGTTTAATTATTATTCGAATATTGTCCTCACAAAATTTATTTTAATTTAATAATTTAGCAAATTCACCTCCTTCAAGATTATCAAAAACTAAAATTAGACGATTGTCTTCTTAAAACAATTCTTCCATTTGTACAATATTTTTATGCTTTAATAATCTTAAAATCTATATTTCTTTATTTATCTATTACATATCTCCTCCATCTAATTCATAAACCTTTGCTATTTTTTCCTCATTGGTTACTCGATGGCGGATCTTATAAATCTAAATTTTTAATATATTATAACTTTTTTTTTTTCTTTTTCAACATTGACAGAACATAATTTATAGATCTGTAAAAAATTTACTTATACACAGTATTTCTTTAAATGATCATATAATTAATCTATTTCTCCAAATATTTCAAGGTATTTTCCTTATTTGCTAATTTTTAAACCTTATTAAATTACTAAGGAATTTTTGACTTTTTCAAGTTAGCAATTTAAGCAATTAATGGATTTCTTGTATTAGAAATATGTTTACTGTTTTTGAATAAATTATCAAATGTTCAGCAATTTTTAGTTTCTTCATTTTCAGATTATTTTATCTTAAAACTATAAAAAACTCTTCTTGCTATATAATAACATTGTTTTAAGGAGATTTAATCCAAAAAGGGTCATAATTTGCAGAATTACCACAAAAGTTCTATTTTTAAGAGTTCATTATGAATATATTTAGAATATTAAATTATAAATAAGTAGATATGCTATTCTTTATTTTTATGAATGCTTCTAATATTTCCATATGTAAAAAAATAAAAAAATAGTCTAAAATTGATATTATTTTTGATAACATTGTCAAATCACTTCAAATTGATAATAAGCAGAATTAATTATTGGAATTAAATTCATTTATTTATAGTTTATTTATTTCTAAGTATATATTAAATTCATATATTTTTGAAAAGAATCAAAAATCTTATAAACACAACGCTGTTTTGTTAATAAGATAAAACATTTTTATTTGATAAAGTATATAAACTATAAATAAAATTGAAAATCCATTTAAATTAAATCAATCAATAATTTCTCAAATTCAAATATACATAATGCAAGTGAGCGACCAACATACACAACAACTTTTGATGACAGCCACTTTGAAAAATGGATAATTAGAGTTTTATACATCTGATTAATATGATGAATATATGATTCCTCCAAATTAAACAATAGCTGAACAACATTAAGTATTTTTTAATTCATTTTTAGTTAGCTTGTAAAGTTGGTATTCCTAAGCCTTATAAGGAAGGAGAGACAGTTAATATTTGTCCTTGTTGCAAATAACAAATAGTAATGTTTTACCTTTGAATATTTATAGGAAAAAACACAAATTGATTTTCAAAGAGATGAGATGGCCTTTTCTTTTCTTGGATCAGGTTATCCACTATACTTTAATTTCATAAAATGTTGTCTTATGATTGTTGGAGTATTGTTCTTAACATCAGGATAATATTAACTTGTCTCTAATTTAACAAGCAATGATTGTGAAGATTTAGTTGTTTAAGTGCAACATAGATATAAAGAAGTTTAAAAAGAAGATTCTTGGAGTGAATAAGTACATAATTATTGTTTAAATGATTGGATTGCACGATCATCATTAGCAAATAAAAGATTTTAATCAATTTTGACTGAGTTACCTCATTATTTTAATTTTTCCAGTGTCATATTCATTTTAATTATCATTTTCTTTTTTAGGAAATCTCAATTAATCATAGACAATGACTGTGATATTAAAGAAAATACACCATCTGATTATACTTTAATTGTTAAAGATATTCCTAAGGATTGCAAATAATAATAATTAAAAGAATTTTTTGAAAATAAATTTAATGTAGAAGTAATGGAAGTAGATTATATATTCTTTGCTAATACTCTTAAAGAATTAGAATAATAATTGGAAGTTATAGTAAAATAATAGAAAATTGCTTTAGAGAATAATGACAATGATCAATTAATAAATTTAAATGAATAAAAAAAGCTAAAATAAAACTAAATCACTACTGAAGCATTAAGAATATAATAAGACTTTGAATTATTCTCTGGAACAGCTTTTTTATCTTTGAAATATGAAGATCACAAATAAGCTATTTTAAAATCTTCAAATTATAGAACACAATAAGTTATTTCTAATATATTTTTTGGATGTATAATTTAAGAGGCTAAGAGTTTAGAGATTAATAATTAATTTATAAAAGTTGATTAAGCTCCTGAACCTGGAGATGTTATTTGGGATAATATTGTTCATAATGATAATAGAAGATTTTGGGTTAGATTACTTGGTTTTACATTCTCTTAAATTGTAATTGCTTTGTTCTTAATTACATTATTAGAATTGGCTAAAATTTAAGCATAAGATGCTTCAAATGTTCCAGCTACATTGGTTGATGTATAAACTGATTAAGGAATTGTTTAGGTTTCTTTACCTTCATAATAAAAATCTAAGAATATGGGTTCAATAATTGCAGCATTATTAACTACTTTTATAAATTCTTTTGTTGTTGGACGTCTTTCTAATTTTTTAGTGGGTTTTGAAAGTTATGAAACTTATTCACTTTATACTGTATCATTAGCTTCAAAATTATCATTAATGTTATTTGTTAATTCAGCTATTATTGCATTTTTAGCAAGCACAATATATACTCGTAATTTATTTGGACCAGGAGGTCTCATTTATACAGAAACCTATTTTTTTATAACTAATGCTATAATTCCTCCTTTAGTTACATTTATTGATCCAAATAGAATTACAAAATCATTAAAATTATGGTGGATTAAGAAATTTAACAAAGCTGTCACTCAAAAAGAATTAAATGAATTAAATGAACACACTGAGCATATGATTGAATTGAAATATGCTGATATTATGAAAACTTTATTTATTACATTTTTCTATACTCCATTGACTCCTGCTGGATATATAACTAGTTTTATAGGTTTGGCATTATATTATGTTGCAGAAAAGGTATAAAATAAATTAATTAAATTTAGTATGTAATATGTTATAGAATGTCTGTAAAACATACTCCATCTGTTTAATTATCAATATTGATGACAGAAATGATGGAATATCTACCTATTATCTATGCAGCAGGATATTTAATTTTTAATTATTAAATAACTGGAAGTACAAGCTATTGGGCTATTGCTTCAATTTTGGTTTCATTTTTAAGTTCTGTTTTGCCTATGTAGTATTTTGTTGAAAGTTGTTTTAAATAAGAAGAGCAGGATGAAACTACATCTTATAATGAAGCAAAAGTTAATTTTTCAACAACATATTCTTTATAAAATCCAGTGAACAAATATAATAAATAAGAATAAATTATTTAAGGCTAACTTAAGTCCAAAAGCCAATCATAATTATGAATGAGATATTTAACATTTTTATAAATTATTATTAATTTTTTAAGTAATTCACCATAATGAGTGAATTTAGAAAAATAACAATAAATACATTTTAAAAGGATATAACTGTTCTACAATTAAATATCTGCTATAAAATTGAATAAATTTCTACATGCGATTTTTTTGGTTTTAATTAACAATTGCAGATAAATATTAGATATTGATATTAATTAATAATTTTTATGAAAATGATTGATCTGTTCCATTGTTCTAAAGAAATTTATTAATGATAAATCTATAATTAAGGATCCGACTTTGGAAGATATTAATATTTGAAATAAAAACTGGAAATGAAAATTATTAAATAAATAAGTATATATGTTTAGCTACTCTTCACCAAATTTGCCAGAATCTCTCCATAATTCACATTTTTTATTACTAACTCTAACTGCTCCACCTTCAAATTTGAACCCTGAATACTTTAGCTCTTTGATGAATCAGTAATTGCAATTTTTGATATCTAAGGTATGGGCCAGTCCTCTAAGTTAAAATTTTGAATCGATCATTAATGGAATGCAGAGTGTTAGTTGAGATGGCTAATACAGATGCAGCTAAAAATGCAAAAAAGGCTTTAGATCAGCTATCATCAAACTTTATAAAGTGCTCCTACTATTAAGAAGATAAATTACAAGGTTCGTTTACAGTTGGATCCTTTGAGACTATTGAGGATACCACATCCAGCACGTTCAAAAATAGACATTCTACTTCATTGAATGAAAGTAATTTTTAAAGTTATATGAATTGTAGTCATAAATGATGCTGATTCAAAACCTTAAAGCGCAACTGTACTGCCAATTAGCTAAAAACTTATTCCCTCTTCAAAAAACATTTAATCAACAAAAACAGTCTGTTTGAATGGCATTTAAGGCAAAGACTTGGATGCACTAAAAATTTACAATATCTTTAGCAATTTCGGTAACATAGATAAAATTATATTAATTAAGTAATATATTTTTATAACTCATCTATAGTCTGAAGAATTTTGCTTTGGTGAAATATTTGAAAGAAGATTAGGCTTATTTCGTTTATTAACATTGCCAAAATATCCAGTTTTTCGAAAGCAACTTATCGATCACATTCGCAGCTGATGATTCTATTGAGAAACTAGTAGGTTTAGACACCCTTTATAGAGAACAAGACTATTATATAGGCTCTGAAGATACAGATAGGTATTCATATTTTTAAATCTAGATTTAATGCAAATAATAAAATGATATTATTACCTCCAAGTTAAGTTCTTCATATCTCAAATCTTAAAAAGGTTTCCTCTAATGCAGAAACAATGTGGGATATCTTCTCTGAATATGGAGTAGTGGAAGTATTGCTTTTATTAATTTAGGCTGTTAAAGTATTGAATTCTTAGTTTAAATTTATGTGTTTAGTCAAGATGGAAAGCTTGAAATAAGCTTTAGAAGTTATGGCTTTAATGCACAATGAAGAAGTTGATGGAAGAAATATTTAGATCTCATTTACGAAAGCAAAGATATGATTATAATAAGAAAATAATTTATTTATAATTTATGAAAATCATACTTGCATTATTGTCATTTTAACAATTCACTTTATAATATTAATGCTAATTTTTATAGCAAATCAAATATTAATTATTATAAAGATAAAAAAATTATTATTATTATTATTATTATTATGCAAGATCATATGTAAGTAACAATATGACGCATGATTTTTTTATATAAAACTCTGTTAACCAGATCTTTATCTATTAATAATACACTTATAATTTAATTATGCATTGCTTTACCTATTTCCATGAAAACTTTTATCTTTAATAATAATACATCCAGCAATAAATGCTAATGTACAATCAAATGTTAAAGTACTCAAATAATAATATATTATAGTGCTTGTGCTTTTCAAAATTAGCTTTTCTAATCAACCAATAACTAATTACCAAATTAAGCCGAATTTCTATACTCTTAACTTTCAAAAAATGAGGATACTCCTCTTATTTAAGCAAAAGTTAACATCCCAAAGAAAAAAAAAATTATTAGAGCCCCTAAACAATAATAAGATGGAGTTAATGACCAAAATAAAACATCAAAGAAGAAAGTGTTTCTTTCGATGTTAGACATTAAGGAAGTATAATATAAAAAGTATACTCATTAAATATTGTAGATCTAAAGTATCTGATGCATAAGTATTGTAAAAGACTACAAATTTATTGAATGAAGAGAATTAATGAGCAATTTTGAATTCATTGTTGTATATATTTTCATAAATTTAAACAAAATATTTTTGGCTTGGTAAAATTAAAAAATCCATTTTAGTGGTACTCTTTTGTATACCAAGCATCATTAATATATTAAATAAACTTATATAAAGTATTATGTATGATTTAATTTACTTTTAGATGAGTAAAATTATTTATTAATTTTTATTATGAATTCAATTCTTTATAAAAAATAATTATATTTATTTAGAGACTTCCTTTTCTCATATATCTTGAAAATATTTGATTAGTTTTCAAAATCATTACTAAACAAAATATTATAAGTTAACTGAAAAAAACAAAAATTTAGCTTTAATTCTTATATTTGATATAATATAAAGTTATACTCATAAATCGTTATTTTATAATATATAAAAATGTATGAAATTATTATAAAAAATAATGACTAATTTTATGTATCTATATTTTTTATGAAAATTCCTTTTGAATAATAATTTATAAAGAAAATTAAAGAAATTATTAATTAGCGATTTTAAATATTAATTAATTTATTAAATTATAATATAGAAATTGATAACAAAGAATCACTAAATCTAATATTATTCAAATAATTTTTTTATATTCTGGATATCAAATTGCAGGAACCCTTTATATTTATTATAATATAATTGCTGAAAACAATCAAAGCATTTTGAATTCCATTATAAATCTAATTGTGATATACTATCCAAAAATTCTTATTAATTAAGTTTAGAAATATTTTTTCTTGTACAAAATTCGAATATTTATAAGCAAGCCTTAGCAACTGTTTAAAGAGTTTAATCATCAAAATTTAATGAATAGTGTTACAATAATGTTCGAAAAACACTTCTAACATGAGGTACTGAAGATTTCAATTCAGGATTATACTCGAATTCTCTATTAAATATAATAAAAAGATATACTTATCTTAAATATCCTCTATCATGTACCTAGCTAACATATTTGAACTTAATACTTTAAATGGTTCTCTTCCTAATAATTACTCCAACTCTTAGATTGATATTTCATTACCTTTAAATAATATCTAATATTAATTGTAAAAGTACTTTTTCTGCATCTTATAAGGATATATTATTTTTTCTTAATGTTAATTTTAGTTCAGTAACAATATCTTCAACCTAGTTTTTTTATACACTTTTCACCATTTAATCATTATCTTAAATTTATGTATATTAAGAATTTGACTATTAATCATCAACATATGTAGTTTTTCTCTTTTAATTTACAGTCAAATATCTATCAAAATTTCTTGCTTTTTCAGATAATTATTAGATTTCTTTTTATAAATGTTCTATCCTCTCTTTATAATTCTGTCTCTCATATTCATGTTAATTTATTTTTTATTGAAGTTCTTATTATGTTTATTCTATAAGTGCTTTATCCTCTACATTTGTTTTTCGAGCAATAGTCAATTAAGTTTTGAGATGAGATATTTCTTCATCTTTTGTTATTAACTCTTCTCTCAATTAAAATTCATTTTTATTAGAATGCTTAACATTCATTTCACTTAAATGATCTCTTTCTCTAAATTTCTATAATTACTAATCTTTTGCTTATAATACAAGTTATAATTATTGATGTTTTCTAGAAATTGAGAAATGATCTACTTTTATTTTCTCTAATTCCTTGATTTATTAAGTCGATTATTATAATTTTTAGAATAATTCTATATTATCATTAATTATTGACTCAGTGTTTCCTGAAAACTTTTAATATATATGATATTTCCCTAATTCTAATCTTAATTATTAAATTGTTTTCTCTAACTCAATAACTTTTTTATAGTTTGTGCTTTGCATCAATTCAATAACTTCTTCTTCCCTATTTTTCAATCTTATTAATGCTTATTTTAATTCCCTTTTATAATCCACCTCACCTTAAATAACTAAATCCTTTTCATAACATTATAACCTTGCTTTTAGTTTATTTATTTCATTTTACAAAGCCTTATTATGTTATTTCTCTCGAATTAACTCTTCATATAATTATTCCTTATCTAAACTGATTTATTTTGGAATAACAATCTTTCTTTATTAACAGACACTATCTGAAAGTGTATAGAGTTTATTAATATAGTTTTTTTGGAGTAGATATCCAGTAGAAATACTCTATGCATGTTATGATTACATACTATAAATTTTATTCAAAATTAATGTAATCTAAAATCTTTCTTTTATCAAATTCTAAAAATTATGCGTGGATTAATTTATTGAAAGACAAATAATATTAATTTTTTCATGTAAAATAATTTATAAGTATTATAATAAGAATATCCATATCGTAACTCAAATTATTGCACTTTACATTTTTAGAGCTCAGAATCTCAATTAATAGTATTAATTGGAGACTTTAAGCTCTAAAAATATTCTAAATATAAAATACAAATATAATTAATGATTAAATTATTCATTTTAAGGATATTAAATAAAATTTATAAGAATAATTTAAAGTATATTATTAGTTTTTGTATAACTTTTTACTTTGTATAAGGTTTTTTATTAGAATTCTGATAGATAATTAAAAATTAAGTAAATAAAATTGAATATTTTCTATAATTTAAAATGATAAATTCATTTAAAGACTATTTCAAATATTTCGCATTCAATAATTTAAACACTTGATTAACTAAATAAATGAGTTGATCCTGTAATACTTCCATATTAATCACATTAGTATGATGAACCCAAACTAGTGGAAAGGCTGTTAAAATTTGCATGTATATATAAATCGTGACCAGAACCAAAAGTAGGCCCGTAAGATGAATTACAATAAATTGCATACGCTTTATTAGCAGCTTTTAAAGGATAAATCTAATTGTGATTTTAGGAAAATAAGAATGACTGTAATGTGTCATCTACAACATAGTTTCCTAAATGTTATAGCCATTAACATGGTGAAAATGCCCCACAAATGAAATTTGTATTTGATTTAAAAACCATTAATAAATTTCTTCTGCCATATACTTTATTCCAAAATGAAGTATGATTTAATCCATCTTTTGACCCACAATAAACAAGTATTGAACATTTAATAACTGATCTTGATTTTTCTTCTATAGTTTATAATATCTTTTAAAAATAAGCATCTGATAATAGATTTGGTTTTGCTTTGATTTCTTTTATAAGATCATTATATGTTTATTGTAATTTATTCAATGAATTTTGAGAATTTTAAAGTTATTATTAAATTGAAGTAATTTATTGATCTTTGGATTGCAAATTAGTTTAATTATTTTTAATCTATGAATTAAGATCAGTTATAGTTTTATTTAAAAGTTCAATCGTTGAATTGTTCTTTTAGTCTTATTCATCAGATTTCTTTTTTAGTTCCTCAAACTTTTAAGTTTCTTATTATAACTTCCCCATTAACTGTTTTTCAGATTCATTTTTTTGATCTAAATTCACTAATGTCTTTTCTAATTGTTATTTTTATTTTTCTAGATCTGATTATAAATTTTAAATTTGATTTTCTAATTTCTAAATGTTTTCCTTTAGTTAGGTTTAAATATTTATTTCCTATTTCAGTCTATTTGATAATTCTGATTTTTCCTATTATAATTGGGTTAATAAATTCTGATCTTTGTATACAATCAACAATTGCTTATACTTTTTTGAAATTTAATCAAATAATGTATATTATCTTTAAAAAAACTATTTTTAATCTGAATTATGATCTTGATCCATTTGTTTTCCACTCTTTTTTGGTTTTTATTTTTACTTCAGTTATTTAAATATATCACTTTTTTCATTTAAGCTGTCAACCTAATTTTACAAATTTTAATATAATTAAATAGAATCTTCAAATATATTCATATAAGATTAAAGCAATGAGGTATTTTCCAAAAATTATTTAATCTCATCACAACTAGATATATGTTATTTCTCATCTTCAATCAATATTAAAAAGTCTAAATATGAAATTTATAATACTTTTATAATTATTTTCAATCATAATTATTTACTCCTTTGTTAGGAGATCATATTTCATCAGATTCTCTAAGGTTTCTTTTAACTTATGATAAAAAATTGAATCTAATTAATCTTATTGTGCTAACTTTTATTTTAACTGTAGATATAAATCTTTTTAACTAAGTGCTTCCAATATTTCTTTTAGTTGATTTTCATCTAATTAATAAATATTTTTTTAATATAAAGGAAAAGGTGATAATTGTTTTTCTGTAACAACCCTATTATTTTCTAAATCATTAATGATTGTTGTCAAAATTTCTTAATATTTGTCTCTTAAGTTTGTTATAAATTCAATAGCTTAATTGAATTTAGACTCCCTATCTTTACTATATTTTGATATCATTTATTTGGATTTTAGTTTAAACTTTTTCCAATTTTCATCTGCATCTTCTAAAGTAGTATAGTTTTAAGGAATCTCTTATATACATTTTGAACATGCTATCCTTTTATGCTCTTATTGACCTTATTCTATATTGACCATTATAATTTCTAAACCATGTTGTTCACAAATCTAGGTATATAATATTTATAAAAATTTTACCTTTATATCTTTATCAGATGACATATTAATCTAAAATTGAATTTTTATATTTTATAGTGATTCTAAAATCTTTTAATATTAATAAGCATTTGATATAGATCCAATTTGATTTTATACATTTTCTATTAATTATGAAATAGAATTTAAGTTTTATTCTCCTTAAGGTAATTCATATTCTTTATTCCCCTTGTAATATTTTGATAAGGCTTCAATATCTTTATCTAAATTCACTTCTTCTTGAATTTCTTCCTTTTTATTTGTTTCTTTATTGCCATCTTTAATTTAAAGTTCAATATTATTTTAAGTTTTTTCAAATTTTTCCTTTATGTGTTAATTACATTCTTTCAATGATTATTACAATTATTTCATGTAATTCAATTAGGTCTAATTATTTTCAATGATCTATTTCTTCTAATCATTCTTCATTTATTTAATCATCTCAATCATCTCACTAAGTAATAAAATTTGTTGTCCTTCTATTCTCAGAATCAAACATTTGCCACATAAATATTTCTCATTTTAAGTTTTTGACAATTTTAAATCTACTGCAATAATTTAATATGAATGCTTTTCACATATTCTTTTTTCAAAATCCTTTTCATCCATTTCTATTAAATTTTAATTAAAGTAGCTAATATTCTAGAAAATCTCTTCATTTTAATTATAAAATATTTACGTTGACTTAATATTCTCAAATAATAAATTAATTAGGTGGATTTAAAAGGATGTTTGATGAAGATTAAATTTGAGTAGTAATTGCAGCCTATATATGATTGGTCGGATTCCTTATTTTTTAATATGATATAATTAAATGATTTATTGTAAAAAATGAAATCTATAACTATAAATAAAATTATTTTAATAATCTAGAGAAATGAACTTTTTAAAGAGATTTGATTAATTTGGAGTGTCATATTAATAAGAGATATTTAAAAATGAAAAACAATTTAAAAGTGCCTTTGGTGGAATAACATCTCTCTTATTGTACACCTTAAGTATGGTGTATTTTTTTTATAAATTGTTTCTTTGGTTAAATGGAGATATTTTACCAAGAGTTTCAATTCAAAAGACAACATAAAATTATGCTGATGTATCTTTTGAATATAATCCAATTATTTTTTAAGTTGTAGGAATGAGTGGAGATAATTTTATTGATCCATTTTCTAAAACTGAAAATATCATTACACCTTATTTTTCTTATGTTGATGATATTGTGATTTCTAAGAAATAATTGATGTTAGATTCTGGAATACCTCCTACTAGAAATGGAATTTCAACTTCTATTACTCCTTAAGATATAACATTGGTTCTTAATCAATAAGGTGTTAGTTAAGAATCTCCTAAAACTTAAAGATAATTAATGATTTTATTTGAATAATGTGATAGTTCTTAATATGATAATTGTGCTAATAAAGAAAAATAAGAATAATTCTTTAAACAACCTTTAAACACATTTTTCTTGACTATATAAATGTAATAATACAATACTAAATTGAAAGATTTTGAAATGATTTCTAAATAAATCTACTTTATTTTGGATAAAGAAACTGCTCTATACACTCAATTATTGTTTAAAATAACAACATCAATTACAGATACAGGTTTCTTTTTAGAATCAATCGAAAACTAAAAACTTATTAGTGATTTTTAAACTACATCTTAATAATTACCTTAGAGTAATTTTGAATAGAGTTTTGGAAATAAATATCTTGGATTATTCTTAATTGGAATAGATAGTTTATCTGAAACACAATAAATTATTTATCCTAAATTAGGAGAGATTCTAGCAGATGTAGGTTCTATCATGTCTACACTTATGATGTTAAAATTAATAGTCATTTAAATAAACTCAAAAATTTTAGAAGATACTTTATTAAAAACAATCATTAGTTATTATTATCCAGAAATATAGTAAGTTTAATTCAAAAGTAACTTTTTTGGTAAAATAACAAGTATTTCTAAGAATGGTAAATAGATTTCAGATATTACTTCTTTTATAAGGTTTTATGATTAATTAAAAGATAATACAAAAGAAAAATTAACCCTACTGAATTAAATATATGAAGTCTCAAGAATTTAATTTATTCTATAATCAATTTAATCAAAATAAGCATTTAGACAGAGTCATTTTGTAGGTATACGACTATAGAATAATAATATGGCAAATCAGTCATATTAAATTGATTATAATGAAGGATCAATTAATGCTCCCAAAATATTTTTGAAATCATCTGAAAAAAGTAAAGATGAAAAGAATGAAATTATTGTTCCTTAAAATAATAAAAATCAACCAGAAACTATTGAATCTTTAAAATAAGTTGAGATTTTAACAGATGAAGATTTTACTATATTATCTCATATAAATCATTTGAAAAAATAAATAGAAGACTAAGATAAGACTATTCCAATCTTTTATCAAATTAATACAATATTTAATTGATATTATTATGATATTTATATTTTTGATGATTTATCATACTTTTATTCATCCTGCTTTTCTTGTTTAAGCTAATTCTTATTATGTATGATGTAATTCCTTTTAAATATTTAATAATATATACATCCTCTAAAGCTTGAACCTCTTTACTATTTTCTATCAATTATTCTTCAGCTTCTAATAATCTTTAATGATTTTCTTCATATTCCTTCTATAATTTTTCATATTTATATTTAACTCTTTCAACTTCACTGCTTACCATAGCCATTTTACTTTCAAGTTAATACTAACATTATTAATTTATTAAATACTTTCACATCTTCTAATTATTTAATTTAAGCTTCTAATTCTTATATTTTCTTTTCAAATAATCCATGTTCTTTGTCTTTTTCATTTAAAATAGTTAAATTTCTTTCTAATTCTCCTTAAATATCTTCTACATCTAATTAATGAGCTTTAAGATCATCATAATTTTATTATAAAGCAGCCATCTCATCAAGCTTACCTTAATATTTCTTATTTTATGCTTCAATTTAAGAAGCCAATAAAGCAGTTTTCATTTAATATTCTGATAATTTTGATTCCAAAGCTCTTAATGAACTATTTTCTTCTTCTACACTCTTGAATTTCTCTGTGAAATTTTATAATTGTTTTTTAGCCTCATCTGTCAACTATTATTATAATTTAATTTCATCTTAGTTTTTCTAAATTTCATCTTCAATTTATGCTTTTTCATGAGCTACAGCATCTAAATCTTATGTTAATTTAACTTATTTCAAATCAGCTTCATTTAATTAATGTCTTAATTCTTCAACTTATTAACTTAATTCTTCAACTTAAGCAGGTAAATCTTAAAGTTTTAATATTTCACCTTATAATTCCTAATTCTTCTCATTAAGTTATGAACATTCTTCTGTTTTATTTTTTAATCTATAAGACTATCTCTCTATTTCAGTTGATAACATGGCCACTTTATTTTCTAAATTACCTCTTTCTGATAATACATTTTCTAATTTTTATTAGGTTTCATCCAATAATTTTTACATAGAAGCAATCTCATCATGAGTTTTTTTTATAGAATCATTTAATGTTTCATTTTCCTATTCAATTTAAGTCATTTTTTCTAAATCTTCTTTTTATTAATTTGAAAGTTATTATAATTCATCAAATTATTATTACTTTGTTTTTTCTTTAACACTTCTTCTTTCAATTTCTGCTGAAAGCATAGCAGTCTTATTTTACATTTCATAAACTTTATTTTCTAAATCTTAATATTTCTCTATTTCTTTATGTAAACCTTCAATTTTTGCCCTTTCTTCTTATAGTAACTTATTCAATTAATCAATTTATTCATTTAGTTTTTCATATTAATCTTAGGCAATCTATTTTTCACTTGACAAGGTTTCTTAAGTTTTTTATAATTCTGATGATTCAAGATCAGCCTTTTTTAATAATTCTCTCCAATTATCAAATTCACTTTATTATTATTCTTCTTATGATCTATATCTCTATAATGCTTCTGATACTGATTCGAAATCAAACTTCATATCATTTAATTCATTTATTTTAACTTATTAACCATCATAATCTTTTTTGTATTTATCTAACTTTATTCTTTATCTTTCAATTTCAGAAGAAAGCATAGCAACTTTACCTTATAAATCAAATACTTAAGTCTCTAATTAAGAAACTTATTCTTAATATTTAAGTGCTTCATGATATTTTTGATCAAGTTCTTTAATTAAATCATCTTTTCCTTTAAGTTCAAGATGTAATGAATCAATCTCTTATTATAATTATTCAACTTCTGCAAGTGTATGATTATTTTAATCTAACTTTTCTCTTAATTCATCAATTGTCTTGTCTTTGTTTTTCAATTATGCTCCCTTTCTTTCAATTTCAGTTGCAAGCATAGCTACTTTATTTTCTAAAGCATATTTTTCTTAAATAATTTTATCAATTTCTTTAAGTTAATCAGTAAGATTTTCAATCTTCTACTTCAAAATTGCAATTTCTTCATCTTTACCTTATATAATTGCTTTTAATTATGCTACTTCTGTTTATAATTATTATATTTTTTCTTTATATTATTTTGATTCTTAGAGTAGTCTCTCCAACTCTGCTATTCTATTATTCAATTAAGTTATTTATAAATGTTATTCTTACAATTATTTATTTTTATCATTTAATTATTATTTCAGTTTATCAATTTCTTCTCTTAAGATATTTTTTTCGCTTACTTATCTTTCAAGCTCTTTAATTCTCAATTCTAATTGTTTGTTTTATTAACCTCTTTATAATAAGATATCATTTAATCTTTTGATTTCTTTAGTAGAACTTTCAAGTTTTGTATTCACCTCTTTGAATTAAGAAGTTTATCCATTTTTAGTACTTTCTAATTAATGAATATTCTCTTTTAATTCATTATTTTCTTATTATAATCTTTCTAATTAAACTCTTAAGTTTTTTAATTCATTTTAATATCCTTAAGCTTACATTGATCCACTTCTTCTCAATTCGTTAAATTATGAATTTCTTAATGTCTCACTACTCTTCTTAAATTCTTCAATTCCTTTGATTCTATCTGTATCTAATTACTAGTATCTCTTTTTCCAAAACTCAATTTCTACTAACAATTGATTTATTTTATCTTTTTATTCTTTAATTACTTAATCCTTAATTGCCAAATCTGCTAATTAGTCTTCATAATTGGCAATTATTTATTTAGCCTAAAAATAACAAAAACCATAATACTTATGATAGTTCATCATGTGCCCCATCTAATAATTCTCTTAATCGTTTATTTTCCAATCGTGCCATTTTGAGATCTTAATTTTCTAATTCAAGTTCATCACATTTAACTCTTAATATTTCATTCTAATTTATTTAGGCTCTATTTTCAATATTTAATTGCTTTATAGCATCTTGAAGTACTTTTATACGTCCTTCTAAATAGTCAATCTAAATATTGTTTAATATATATACTTTTTTCAACTCTCCAGCATTTATCTAAAACGATAATTCTAATTAAAAGAATTTATTTCTCCACACATCAATTTCTTCTTACATTCTAGTAATCAATCCTTCATCAAACTCAATTTAAATTGGTTCAGGTTATTTTCTTGGAGGTGTTTCAATGATTACTGTTGCAAATTAAGGTGCTCCAGGTTACAATTAAATTCTTGGTGGATGAATCTTTTATTATTAAATATTAGTGATTACAGGTAACGGTCTAAAAGAAGCCATGATCTTGATCCTTAAAAAAGATTTATTTTAATTTTATTTATGAATAAAATATATTTCTTCTTCAAATACAGGCAAAAAATCATTACTAATACATTAAGTAAACAATATTAGATTGAATTATGTAATGATATTTATTAAAAACAATTATAACTCTTTCAAATTTACCCAATTTTTTAATTCCTAAGAAATATCTAATTTATTATAATTAATGGGATAGAGTGCAAATTTTTGTAAATAGTAAACTGATAGACTATCTGAAAGTTATTGTGAACAAAATAATACTGATTATTTTGGTCCACAATATGCCTCTAATTATTTAATAAACACAAAGTTCATATCTCATATTGAAGTATAAAATAGTAAAACAGAAGAATAACCGAAAGGACCATAACATGTTTCTTCAACTAATCAAACTGATCAAGAATTACCACAGAACTCAATCTAGAAAGATGAGAAATTTTTAACAAATTCCAATAAAATATTATGTTCCTTACTTGATTTGGATTCTAATAATCTTAATTCATCTTATGATAATTCAATAAATGCTAATAAAAGTATACTTAAGAAAAATGGGTAAAAAATTTCCAAACAACTAAAAAGTGTGAAATTTATGAATATAGATTCCTAGATTCCATTTAGTATTACTTAATAAAAGTAACTAGGGAAATTATTAAAGAGAAAATAAAAATGATGTTTTACTTTTGTTCTTTTAGAACAATTATTTTTCAATTATAATTATTCAGTATTATTGATAAATATTAAATTTATGAATATTTTGAATATAAAACTAAAACGAATAATGTTATAAATTTCTTAAAATATTTTGCTCTATTATAAATGCTACACATTTGGCATCTTTATGTTAATGATTTATAAATTAATTCTTAGAAATTCTAATTTTTTAATAAAATTCATTATTTTAAGTAAATTTTATTTTTTAATTATGATACTAGAAAATTCTCTAATTAATATAAAATTTCATAATTTTTTTATATTAAATTATATATATATAGTCCTACCAAATGCTATTTGAAGCTTTTAAATAATGAGAATAGATATAATCAAAATATTCAGTTTATTGAAATTATTTTGACTTGTTCAGGTTCAAATTATAATTATCAAATAATTTATTAAAAAGTCTTAAACCAAATGGACCTTAATAAATTATTTTTAAATATCATTTCAATTGGTAAGAAGAATATAAATTGATATTTTAATTATTCAAAGAAAATAATTCATTCTTTAATGAAAAAAACGATTACTTTACCATCTGATTATTCTAAATCATCTTTTTTTAATGATGGAAAAGAATTATTTTGTAATTCTCCCTAATTCTAAATGGAATTTACATTATTTGGAACCTTTTTAATGAAATCTAATAATCGACAATATAATGTGAATATATTTTTACATGAATTCATAATGAAAATAATTGAAGAAGTATTTATTTAGTTCATGGAAGAAAGGAGAAAGACATATTAATCTAGAGAATGTCTGTGTTAAGAAGGCTTTGCATTCAAAAACACAATAATTAGGATTACGAATAAGCAAAAATGGATAGTTTATTGAGTTTTTTGGAGAAATAATAGAATTGTGGAAATAAATAAAAAAATTTGTAATCCAAACTGACTTCTCATTAAAGTACAAATTAGGTTAAAAATTAGGTGAGAGATTTAGCTCTTCAGTAATTCTTAAAATTATCTTAGGTATTTAAGGCTTTAAAAATCATTAATGGATAAAAAGTAGCTGTAAAAATAATTGAAAAGAGTTTAGTTTAAAGAAATAACGCTAGTGAAAGACAATAATTAATTAATGAGCTTACTGTTCTTCGTTAAATAAATCATGACAATTTACTTAAATTACATGAAACATTTGAGAGTGATGAAAAAATATATCTAGTCTTAGATTTGTTGGAAGGAGGACATTTGAAAAATTCAATATTTAGATTTAGATATTCTGAATAAGAAACAATAATATTGATGTAAACTTTATTCAAATCACTCAATTATATGCATGAAAAAAACATATATCATTAAGATATTAGATTTGATAATATTCTTCTTAAAGATTAATAAGATTTAACATCAGCTTGCATAATCAACTTTGGAAAATCTGAAATCATATAACAAAGTTTGGTAAGCACATAAAATCTCAATTTTTATGATTAAAATTCTCTCATTCAATTTATTAGAAAAAAGGATATACTATCTTTATGTATTGTAATTTACAGCATCTTTTCAAAGAAACTTTATCAAGAAACATAAATTTTAGATGAATTATTAATGAAAAACTATGAGAGTATGTCTGATATAGAATATTTGGACTTAAATCCTCCTTTATTGTAATTTTTCGAAATTTTCTTTACCTCAAAAGGTAAAACTTAAATGGATACAATTAAATGTTCAGACATATTAAATTTAGATATCTTTAACCTTCCACTTATTAGACGCCCATCTAAATTTTAGGGAATACCTTAATAGATCAATCATAATTTTAAACGTGCATCTAGATTTGCTCCAAAATATTCTGAAAAGGAATAGTAAATAATCTCTAATTTCCAAAAGATTCTCAAACTACCTACTATTTCTGATTCCTCAGAATCAAAGATCTCATAAAATCATTCTTAAAGTCCATAAACTGAAAATTTTATTTCATATAGATTATTATAAGATGAAAAAGCAAGTTCAATCAAACCTCGCTATAGTGTTTTAAAGAAATGCTTAAGCCCAAATATTTGAAATAAATTGAATATTTAAAATTCTTTTTTTTTATTAATTATCTAATAATTAAATTGATGTTTAAAGAGAAAATATTAAACGTAAAGAATACAAAAATATTGATCCCCAAAGAAGTCCTTAGTGGAGGCTACAATAATCAACACTAGTATGAGACAAGTCTTTACTATAACAATATATAAAATTATTATCTAAATGATATTTATACAATTTAAGAAATTTATGTTTAAAAAATGAATTAAAATTTATATTTTTAGTATTGCTACTTATAATCATTAAGTAATATTAGTAAGATTTCATAGATTCGTATGAATTATTATTTGAATCCTGTTAAAATTTGATAGAAGGTCTCATTTTCTATATTATTTCTTCTTTCTAAATAAATAATATATATATTAATTATTAATAGTTATATTGAAATAGTTTTGGATGAGTAAAAGAATAACTATAGGATCTATCGTATAGTGGTTAGTACCTGAGGCTTTAACCCTCAAGACCTTGGTTCGAATCCAAGTAGGTCCTTTTTTTATATTTTTATAAATAAATTTTATATTAATATTTTTTTATATTTCCTTTTTACTTGTGATTCAAAAACTTTCAGGGATATAGTTTTCCAGTCAGATTTGCATCAACGACTCTAGATCCTCTTGAGGATTATTCAATTACTCTGTTTACAGAGGAACTTGTCACATTCTACTAGACAGTCACAGATTTAACTTCAGTAACACCCCCTTTTTTAAGTGCTTCTAATTCAGCTTAAGCCATAATCAATTTTTCTTATGTTTCAAAAAAATCATTGTTTAATTTCTTAAATCTTGACTTCCAAACTTCAACTTCCTTCATAGAGAATGAAAGATTACATTTGTTAAGGTCACTGTTTCAGTACTTTCTACAGTAAAAGAGCTTTCCATTTGATGATATCTTTATTCCCATTCATCTAATTCTTATAATTTCTATTAAAGAAGGCCTTAAAGTTTTTCTAACTCCAATTTTGAATTGTATAATTAAGTCTATATTAATGATAGCAATATACTTCTAAGAGGGCCAATCTATCTTTTAAAGATTAGGATGAATTGTCACTTCTCAATTCTAAATATTCTCCTTCTTTTTATCTCAATCTATCTTATTCATTTCTAAGATTTATTTTAATTCTTTCAATGTCCATTTACAAATCTGCTATCTAAAATTTTATATTGCTAGAATACTCTGGTTGTATTTTCAACTTTGACTGTTTCTTTTTCTACTTTAACTTAGGGTTATCTGTTTAATAATTCAGCAACTCTTTATCTCAAAATAAGAACTTCTTCTTTATATTATTCTTCTTCTTCACAATGGCACTCTTTTTCACATTATTATGGATATGGCATTGGAATATAAATTGGCATGGGCATAGCTTATGGTTGAGGACAAGGTTATGGACAAGGTTGACAACATGAAGTATTAAAAGCAACATTATAGACTCCATTTGTTTATCTGTTTGCCAAGGTAGCAAATGTAGTTGTCAAATAATTTCTTCTAACAAAGTTATAAGTCGATCTTTATTCATTTTCAACTGTAATTACTCGATCAGATACTTTTGTTGTCAGAAAGCTTTCCTCTCTTTTTGTAGTTGTATTGATCATTTGTTAAGAAATAAAATTTATATTAATGCAATGAACTTATTTACTATAAATATTTTAATAGTGTTTGAACAACTAATAAAAAATGAAAGTAGTATTGTCATTAAGTTATCAATATTCAATTTTAATTATTAAATTTTTATGTCTGTGTACGAAGAACCGCTTTCTAGTCCAAACATGGCAAGCTCTATTGTTTATATGAGTAAAAATTTGCAGTATCATTCAAGATGATGAATTCTTAAATAACTTTAAGATGAAACAATCTTAATTCACAATGTTGGATAAAATAAAGCTATCCCGAGAAGTTAGTGAGTAGAGTATTTTGTCTTAAGATTCTGATGATTTTGAAACCAAATAAGGTTTTAAAAATAAGGTATGGAAGGATAGAGCTCTGAACATTATAGTTCTCGTTGCTCGATTTGTTACTTATTTATTGACTAATTCAGATAAATTTAAATTGCGATATTTAGATCACAGACAATTCAAAGTTATTGGAGATAAAGCATCTGATTTTAACTTTTATTTAACACATAAATTAATTAGAGGCAAGTCTAAAAAGGGATCAATAGTAATTTATATCGTTATCTTAAGGAATTAATGTAGACAAAAATTAAGCAGTACCTTAGTTTTTTACAAGTTTTTTCCTCTATTATTAAACCAATAAGACCTGATAATTCACTTAAACTTTATTGGGATGTTTTGGTATTTTTAATACTTTTAATAAATATACTTTATATTCCTCTTAAGATCTCATTTCAAATAAGTGTTGTTGATGGTGCAGATTTTTTTTTAGACACTCTACCATAATATGTTTTTGTTTTTGAAATATTGCTTAATTTTAATGTTGCTTACTATTCAAGAGGAGTGTTAGTATTGAACAGAGCTTAAATTTTCAAGCATTATTTGAAAGGCAAATTTGCTCTTGATTTTATTGTTCTTATACCATTTATGATAGGGAGATCTAATGTTCCATATATTGAATTCGTATTGCTATTTAGAGTGTCCAGAGTATTTAGATTTTAATATCTTATAAGGTTATGTATATTTTCGAAAATATCGTTGAAACTATGAATCTAAGAGTAAATTTTGCATCAGTTGTTGACATAATTTCTTTAATGTCAACCTTCTTGTTTGCATCACACATTATAGCTTGTTTTTGGCATTTTATAGCAATTTAAGAATCCTCTTTTGAAGAAAACACATGGATTCAAAGAGCTAATTTAGTAGAAGATAATTGGTAGGCTAGATATATTACTAGTTTTTATTGGGCTTGTATAACTACATTGACTATTGGTTATGGTGACATTATACCAGTAAATATAATCAAAATTATTGAATAGGTCACTCAATATGAGAAAATATTTGTAATTTTTGTAACACTTTTAAGTTCAATTATATTTGGTTATACAATATCAAGTATTGGTTCTATTTTTGCATAGATGAGTGAGAATAAAAATTATTTAAGAGATAGAATGACATTAATTGATTCATTTCTTAAAAAAAGAGGTTTGAATAAGGATTTATAAGTAAAAGTTAAAAAATTCTTTGAGTATTTTTTAAAATAAGAAAGAGATTAAGAATCTGAATGTGAAAAATTAATGTATCATTTATCTGGTAGTTTAAACAAAGAAGTAAAAATTGATTTTTACAAAAATATGTTATGTGCTTCTAAATTAATTAGACAGAACTTTTCTGCTCAATTTATAGAAAAATTATGTATTCTAGTTAAAGAATAATCATTTGTACCAGAAGAAATTATTTCTGTTGAAGGGTAATTAAATATTTATATTTAGATAAAAAGTAGATAAAATTTATTTCATACTCAAAGGAGAAGTTGAAGCATATATAAGTAACAATAAAACAATTAAAATTTATTAAAGAAATTAGGCTATAGATGAAAAGTCATTCATTTCTCAACATCCTGCTTTATTTTCAACAAGAGCAATAAAATTTTCAAAGTTAGCATACATTACATATGATGATTTATTAGAATTACTAAAATATAATTAAGAAGATAGAGAACATTTTTATTAAGTTAAGCATCAAATAGAGTTTGGTGGAAGAGTCAAAATGGGTGGATGTGAATTGTGTCATCAGAATCACGATTTTATAAAATGTCCTTTTGTGTTTTATACTCCAAATAGTTTAAGATTATTTAAAAAAAATGATCATGATGAAAAGTAATATAGAATGTATAAAATACGATCTAAAATAGAAGAGAGACTTCATAATGTAATGTAAATTAATAACTATTAAATAGAACTCATTAGGATAATTAAGAAATTTATAATCGACCGTATTTAATTATTGTTCATATTAAGGATTATTAAATGAAATTGGACCTAATTCAGAGTTTATTTTATCGAATAAATTTAATTTCTAATAGGATTCAGCTTACGAAGATATAGAACCTAGTTTGACTAATTCTGATAATGAATCGGAATTTAAACCAAATAAATCTTAACATTTATTACAAATTAGACGAGATTCTAAAAGAAAAGTCTCTGATAATAAAGATACTTAATCAATGAAATCAAAAAGAAAATAAACTAGGATTTCTATTTAAAAAGTATCTTAATAAAATAAGAATTCTGGATAAGTTGAGAGAGAATAGGGAGATAGAAAATATAAATCTAATGCTAAAAGAGCTACTTTAATCTTAAATTAAATGAAACTTGAATAGAGTGAAAGATTGGATGATGATCCTTTATAAACCTAATTTTAATAAACAATAGCTCTAACTTTATAGACTTAATAATAAGGATTCTCATAATAAGCATCACCTTAAGCATAATAACATTCAACATAAATATTAAAAATGTTTGATGTGGATCAGGTTCAATTTATTGAAATGGATATTGCTAAAATTATGGCTAAAAAAGAATGTGATATTGATTCACAAAAAGAAATGGAATTTTATGATACTGGATTTAACTTGGAAACTGTAGTTGCAAAATTGAAAAAAGCAAATAAAAAGTTACCATTAAAATTAAAAAGAAAGAGATTGAGAAAATCATTTGCAAGATCCTAATCAATACGGCATATTAGTTAAACCAAATCTTGAATAATATCTTATAAAGTCTAAATATAAAAGAAAGTATTCAACATTTTCTGAATTACTATAAAATATTAAATAAATTGTAATCAAAATTTTAAATTCCAAAGTCATAACTTTGTAGAAGCTAGCTTAGTAGTTTTCCTTTTTTTTAATAAGATCTTTTAAAATCCTGATGCTTTCAAATGTTTTACCGAATTAGCCAAATCATCCTTATTTCCTAATTTAGTTAATAATAATTCAGGAGGTTCGGAAATATTTTTAACATTCTACTTTTACTCGATCAAAAATTCACTCTCTAATAATTAAGCCTTAATTGTTGATTATGCTTTATTAAAAAATTATTATGAAATTTATTTTTCTCTTTAAGCACTAAATTATCGTATCTATTCATTTAAAGAATTATTTTTTGGCGTTGTATTAGTAGAAGGGAATTTAAAAACATTTTTTTCAAACTTTTAAGCTTTACTTTCATTTGTCTAAGGACTTTTTATTGGAGTTTCATTTGTACCTAAAATGTTAAAAAGCATAGTTTTTCTCTTTTATACAGTTTCAAATAATAAATTGGCTTATGTTTCATTCTCTGTATCTTTCTTTTTTTCCTCTTCTTTTTCTTATTGAATTGATTCAACTTACTTTTTTAAAACTAAATTTCTTGATTATATCAATTTTTATTCAGCCAATCTTAATTTAGAAAAGTTTTAATTATATTTCAAATTACTCATTGCACTCTCCTTACTTTAAGTTAAATAATCAAAGTACATTAATACATTAAATTCAAAATGTTTATTAAACTAAATATTAATATATCATAATTTACTTCTTAAACATTCTCTTCTAAAATGCATAGACCACTACCAAATTCTTATTTAAACTTTAACATATCATAAGCAAATGGAAATTCTTTTCTCTGTTCAGATTCTTACTTAATTAATTTATTGCATAAGAATTAAGATTATTCAAAAGCTACATGATTTCTTGGTAATCTTCTATCAATCATACTATTAATTTCTTGTTCTAAAGTTCTAAATGAATTTTCTTTTTTGATTTATTTTGGTTATATCTAAAATTCCTCATTTTTGTTATGTTCACTTAATTAAAGTAGTTTTGCTAAAAAATTGTTTCCACCTTTTTTATACTTATGTACTTTTGTAAATTTCCTGTATTTTTAGAATTCTGAGGGTTATTAAATTGATATGCTAGTTAATCCTAAAGAATCATTAAAAAATTAAATTTCTGTTCCACATTTGCTTGGTCGTCCAGATGCTAATGTTGTATCAGTTAATTCACTGTTGGTTTTCTTGTGAAAATGATTAGCTTCTTCTATTTCAATTGAATGATGATTGCTAACAATTACTTAAGGTTATTCATATTTCTTTAACTTTTTATCAAGTAATTCTTCTTATAAAGTTCTTGGAGTAAAGCTTATATTATTTTTTTGAATTTAATAATTTGTTAAAAATTTTGCAAATCTTATAAGCTCTCCATTTTCTTATAGATGAAGAGAATAAGCTTCCCATTTATTTTTATCAATTTATTCAATTACTTTTTGTAATTCTTAACATTTTTCAAAGAAAATCAAAATGGAACATATAAATTTGGAAAAAGAAATACAAGTTTACATTTCTTAAATTTCACCTTTTAATTCATGAGCTGTAGCTAATAGTGATATTGAAGCAACTATTATTGAAGTAGATCTAGTAATCTATTTTTAAAATTTCTTGTCTGATTGTGATATTCTCAATTATTCTTTTAGATAAAATAGAGGAATAACTGTTTTTTCTAATCCTAAAATAATTGATAAATATAGATGATCTATAGTTTATTACATTGAATTAATTTCAAAATATGCTGATCCAATGATCAAAAGCATTTCTTATCTATTATTAATGGACTTTTGATGAAGTTAAAAATTGCAATCACTAAAATAACTAACAACTATAAATTTTTTTAAGATTAACAAAGCAAAAGTAGTTTCTTTTCTTAACTTAAGATAATAATAATGATATTTTAATGTGTCCTATAAGGATTACAAAAATAATCGTTTTTATTGAAAGAGCCATTTCCTACTAACTTTTGTCCTTTGATTAATTATTTTTTAAGATGCTTAAGGAGACATGCAACTTAAACGTTTAGGAGTAAAAACTTTATGTATAGTTTCTTCTTTTTGTAAGTATTAACTCCATATATAAAGTGCATCGAAAGCTCTGTACAGAATTGGCTTAACTTTATGTGATTTTTTGTCATATTTCAGTAAATATTTGAAAAGTAACTTATTACAAACATATGAATATCTTCTAACAATTTTAATGCAGATTTCTGCAGAATCTTAGTATTCATATCTTATAAGTAATTTTAAGGCTTTTAGATATTGTGATGTTTTAATAAGACTATTGATCTCATTTAATAAATTCATTTCTTATTTATAATAATAAAATAAGGTATATTAGTTGAATAAAATCATCTATTAACAAGTTTGAGCTACGATTAGATGTTTTAGTAAATATAATGATAATATATTTTGTTGGAAAATATTTATTTATTTCAGATAAGTATTAATTTAAATATTTTTGTAATGGCAGAGTAATTTATCTTGTTATGAATTTTTTAGGGATAAAGATACAAAAACAATTCCCCTTGATGAAAATGATATCAATTTATTAAAGAAATATGGTATGGGTCCATATGCAGAGAAAATCAAATAATTAGAAGAAGAAAACAAGAATTCAGTTGCCACAATAAATAAGATGGTTGGAATAAAAGAAAGTGATACAGGTTTGAGTATCCCTAGTACATGGGATTTAGTGGCTGATCAAAAGCTTGCTTCAGTAATTCAATAAATTAATTTTTAAGGAACATCCATTGACAGTAGCTAGATGTACCAAGATATTCAAATCATCTCTACAACAAAAGGATCTTTATATGATCACTATTAAACATATAGCTAAATATGTTGTAGGCTTAGGAGAGAAAGTGGCTCCAACTGATATAGAGGAAGGAATGAGAGTTGGAGTTGAAAGATAAAAATATGCAATTTAATTGCCATTACCACCAAAGATTGATCCATCTGTAACAATGATGACAGTGGAAGATAAACCTGATGTTACATATAATGATATTGGTGGATGCAAAGAATAGTTAAAAAAATTAAGGGAAGTAGTTGAAATGCCTTTATTGAATCCAGAAAAATTTATTACTTTAGGTATTGATCCACCAAAAGGTGTTTTAATGTATGGACCACCAGGAACAGGTAAAACATTGACAGCAAGAGCTGTTGCCAATAGAACTGAAGTATAATCTTGATATATTTTAGGCATGTTTTATTCGTGTTATAGGTTCAGAATTAGTTTAGAAATATGTTGGAGAAGGAGCAAGAATGGTTAGAGAATTATTTTAAATGGCAAGGACTAAAAAGGCATGCATTATATTTTTTGATGAAATTGATGCTATTGGAGGTGCTAGACATGATGATGGAAATGATAATGATGTTTAAAGAACAATGCTTGAAATAGTTAATTAATTAGATGGATTTGATTCTAGAGGCAATATTAAAGTGTTAATGGCTACTAATAGACCAGACACATTAGATCCAGCACTTTTGAGACCTGGAAGATTGGATAGAAAAGTTGAATTTGCATTGCCAGATTTAGAAGGTAGAGCAGGTATATTTAAAATTCATGCCAGAACAATGAGTATGGAAAAAAATATTAGATATGAATTATTAGCAAGGTATATATTATTTTAATAATTTAGATTGTGTCCTAATACAACTGGTGCTGATATCCGAAGTGTTTGCACAGAAGCAGGAATGTTTGCAATTAGAGCTAGAAGAAAGGCTATAAGTGAAAAGGATTTATTAGAAGCCATTGAAAAGGTTATTAAAGGATATCAGAAGTTCTCAGCAACTCAAAAATACATGGTTTATAATTGATTATTATAGTCATAAATATATGCAATATTGGTATCATTTATAAATTATGTAATATAATAGATAAATATTTTATTGTTCTTCAAGTCCAATATCTTTAACTTGGTTCTCTTGGGAATTTCATTTCCTCGATACACACAATAACATCATCATATATAGAATTATTAATAAATGGTAAATTCTACAACGCTGGTCCTTATCTCACTCTTGCATATTTATCATAAACTGAACCATGGCAAATGCAAACCCAACCCTATCATATAAATTTGCATAATACATTATAAGCACCTAAATATGGGATTGGTATGCATCCTAAATGAGTACACAAAGCACTCACAACTAATACCTTTGTATTACCACAATTTGTAAGGACAACTTCAGAACTAAAATTTTAAGGTTACTAGATTACCTAGGATCCAAAATAGTTTCTTTTGGCAAATTATCTTCATCCTTTATTTCTTATTAAGTCAATCTTCTAATAAATACTGGTGTACCATTCCATACAATTTACATGACTTCTCCAGGTGGTAAATCTCCAATACTAAACAAAAAATTAGATGCTAAATTATTACTCCATTTCAAGATAAGTGTCTCTGTCATATCTCTTCCATCCATTCATTCTACCTATGAGACCTACTGCAAATAGTCTTGCAAAAGAGAGTAATCCACCATAATAGACAGCATTTAATGCATATATTTATGTTCTTTTAATCTCGGTCTCATGTTCATTATGGACTCTATACTCAATTTTTTTAGCAATTGTTACCTGTTTTCATCAAACCAATTATCCATTTATACTTTGAAATCAATATGATCACCGAAATTTCCTGGTCTAGCTGAAGTTGTGAAGAATTGTGGTGCTTCAGATACTTAAACTCCTTTGTATAACTTTTAGTTGACTCTGCTATTGTATTCTGAAACTAGACCAAAGTGAGCTTTGCCTATAAATGATCTTCTCAATACTCGACTAATCATTTTTAAATCTTTTATATAATTTTATTTATAAATAGTTATTCCTTTCATATTTTCATTTCTTATATTGATTATCTAATACTCATCAAGTTGCTTTTAGTAATTTGTTCTGGAGTAGCCTACAAAATTCTACAAATCTAGGCTTTTTTTGTAAAAATTTAAATGTTATTATTATTCTCAATTATTAATCTTAATAAACTGTAGTAGTATGTCAACTATTCCAATACATAAACCATAGTCTCATCTTATAATTATAGTTATTATGAATCACTAGCTCCAGCTAATCTGCTATTACATTTATTGAATAAATCTCTTATGCATCTCTATAGCAAAGTACTGAAAAGTAAATAAAATTCATAGCTTTCATTTACTGACTTGAAGTTTTCATATATTTTCTGAAAACTTCTATCTCTTAACACACATTGTTTGAGAGTGTGATTGCTTTCAATCATTTAATACTAAAATAATAAATGAGTTTTACTTATTTATCATGATACTCTTTAGCAATTTGATAGATTTCATGAACTTAGGTTTAATATTTTCCTACAGTCTCAATATAAGTATCAAATTCACATAATTATAAGACATTTTTCTTTTTTTCAACAACTTCTCTTAATAATATGGTCTTAAAGAACATGTTTTTGATAATCAAGAATTTTAGTTTGATTTAAAAATCTTAATTGAATATTTGTTATTTGTCAAGTATTCTTAAGATTCTAAACATCAATTCAATAAATTAGAATTACGATTGTATAATTTCATCATTCTGAGTCAAATATCTGACACTCTCTCTGCTTTTTAATGCAGATTAAGGCATAGCAGTTTAAGCTATAAAATTAATCTTACGATTATGATGATATTCTGTGGTTCTTTAAGGAGAATAATTGTCTCGATTTTTAACTGAAGTATTTTTATCTGCAATAGGTCTTGGGGCAGTCATTGTATGTCTACGGTAGAAAATAGGATGATGTTCTAAATCAATACATGAATATCTTTTTGATTCATCAACTGACAAGCATTTTAAAATGAATTCTATTGTTTCTTTTGATACTGGGATATTTGCAGGAAATTATGGTTAAGTTTTTAATATTACTTAAGCCAAATCTTTTTCATTCTATGCTGAATATGGAACTTATCCATACAACAACTCATAGAATATAATTCCCAAACTCCAGATATCAGTTTTCTCAGAATATATATTTTTAATCATAGTTTAGGGAGACATGTATAATGCTGTACCTACATTATAGTAGATTGTTTCTGGTGGTGCATTCATCATTTTTGAAAATCCATAATCTGCTATTTTAGGAATTCCATTTCTTATTAAAATATTTATTGGCTTTAAATCTCTGTGAATTATTCCTTTTGCAACTTATTCCTTAAAACCATTTACAATATGCTTCATAATTTTAATTGCCTCTATTTCATCAATTCTCTATTTTCTTTTTATTAGTTATCCCAGATCCCCTATTATCATTGATTTATTAGATACCTTAATTGCAATATTCAGTTATAATATATGTACATTATGGTCGGTGATAATAATCATACATTTTTAATACATTTTCAGAATTCATCAATGATAAGGCTCGAATCTCTTGATTTAATAAGAACTCTTCAACCTCATTAGTTATTTTACTTCGATCAATTATCTGATAGTTCAAATTACAAAAATACTTTTATCGCAACGGTCTCATTAGTATTATCATTTTTGCCTTTAAACACTTGACTACTGAAACCTGATCCAATTTAATCATTTACACTGTAACTATATTGTTCTACTTTCACTATTTTACTAGATTAAAAAGCACCCGCAGTAACTTAAGCGAATTTCATGTCTGATATTATTTAATTAGTTTGTTATATCGATTAAAATTACACTTTATGGACTACACTATTAAAGATTTCTTCTTTGATGACCCTGAAGAAAAGTCTTTCTGGACTTAAACTCAGTTCGTTGCCAAAGTAATTAAAACTGAATTTCAAGACAATATGTATATATATAAGGAGAAAGAACTTGTAAAACGTAAAGTTGGGATTATGTCTCATTATCTCTTACTTTTTAAAGAATAAGTATAATTTAAAGTGTAAAAAATCTTTAGGAAATACGTAAGTGGGTGAATTTGATAAATGTGACCATGGAGATAATTAAAAACCCAGTAGCTGGCCAAGGAATTAGATTTCTAAAAAACAAATAATGCTTTGAAATGTATGGTGATATTGAACTGTGGTATAATTACCTTAAAAAGTATTGTATTTAAAGAGGCTTCACTCAAAGATACTCATTACTAAAAAAAATAGGTTAAGGGAATTTCGCTGAAGTATTTGATTATTTCATTCTCAGGTATTCAAGGCTGTTTGTAAGACTGATGGACATGAGTATGCTATCAAATGCTTTAGAAAATCTGATTTAAAAGAGGAAGTTGATAAATTATCGATTATTAAAGAAACTTCCATCATGAGGAAACTTTAAAATGAGTCAGTAATAAAAATGTATGAAGTATTTGAAGGGGATGAATACTTATACTTAGTTCTTGAATATTTGAAGGGAGGTGAATTACATAAATACATGAAGAAGTCTCCCCCTTTTTCTGAAGAAAAATGTTCAAAATTAATTTACAAATTATTAAAAACCTGTCAATTTATTCATGAATAAGGAATATTACATCGAGATATTAAGCCTGAAAATATTATGTTAAGAAACAAAGATGATTTAGAAGACATCTGCATCTGTGATTTTGGATTGGCAGATTATTATACTCCAAGTGGCAAGTATTTATTCACTAGATGTGGAACTCCAGGATATGTTGCTCCTGAACTATTATAAGATAAAATCTATGATTACAAAGTAGATATATACAGTATAGGTATTTTGATGTTCATACTTATTGCTGGTAAATCTCCCTTTGAAGGAAAAGACTATGATGATGTTGTAATGAGAAATTATTATGCTAAAGTTAAATTCGAAGAATGTAAATTAAGTGAGCATGGAATGAGTCTGCTTCATGGATTAATGAACAAGAATCCTGTTAAAAGATTAAGTGCTTAAGAGGCACTTAATCATTAATGGTTTATATAAGAAAAATTAGCAAAAACATGTCAATTTAAAATTCGAAGACATAGTAATGTGAAGAGATTACCACATCTTGATGGTTCTCCTATTCCTACTTCTAATTTCTTGAGTCCTAAAAATTCATTCAATAATCTCAGTCCTCAAAGTTTGACCCGTACTGATGATAATACACCAAACTCTCCGATCACTCCTGTTACACCTTTGTAACATAAAGGTAAACCAATTCGTAAATCGATCTTCAATCTGTAACAACTATGAGTAAATAATTCATTTGAAATTCAATACCTAAATCATTATTTTAAAGTAATTTCTATTTCTAAAGGTATTTATTATAAATATACCAAATGAATAAATGAAAAACGATATTAAGCAGAATTTAATATATACTTAAAAACTCTTTTGTTAACGATTAAGCATAAATAATTTAAATAAATTTTTCTTTAAGTCATCTAAGTTACTATAGAAAATGGTAAAGCTTTTTTATCCCTAAAAACAATATAGATTCAAGAGCCATAAATTAATCCTCAACTTGGTCCAATTATTGCTAAGCAATTATAAATGATCATCAAATAACCTATTGATGGTAAATTTATATCTCATTCTTCTTATAGGTGTCCATGTAATTTTTAATGAATAAGATGTTTTTGATATTTAAGCAGATATTGATGGTCCAGGTAAATACTTATTAATAAATATAGTCGACACTCCATTTTAAGGAGGAGTTTTTAGATGTAAATTGATTTTGCCACCCCAATTTCCTTAGATGGCACCAAAAGGTAAACTAATTAAATATGTTAGGTTTATTTAACACTAAAATCTTTCATCCAAATGTGTCAGAAAAAGGAGAGATTTGTGTCAATACTTTAAAGAAAGATTGGAATCCAAATTAATGGTCATTAAAAAATATATTTGAAGTTATAAAGTGTTTGTTGATCGTTCCTTTTCCAGAAAGTTCTTTAAATGAGGAAGCTGGAAAATTATTTATGGAAAATTATGATGAATATTTTAAAAGAGCAAAATTACTTACAAATATTTATGCATCGAAGTAAGATGCAAATATATTAAAAGGAAATAATTAAGTAAATTTATATTCTGATATTTAGATTGTTATTGATGAAGCTGATAAAAAAAATAAAGTAAATTAAACTTAACAGAAAAAAGAAAATGATTAAAAGAAATGGCTAAAAAGAATATGAATACTTATCATTACAAATAATATATTATTATTATTGTAATTATCTATTTTAATACTTTGAACTTTAATATTGATGTTCATTTTAATAAATATAAAAATCAGATTCGAATTCATTTCAATCTATTGGAGATTTTACTTCTGTTTCATTTAATTGTTTGCTTTCAAACAATGCTTCATTTTAATCAAAATTGGCCCTGAGATAAATGAATTTAATTACCATTATTTATTCTTTTCATAAAATTGGTTTTAATTATATTTTAGGAAATAAAGTGCAAAAGCACCCACTAAGACTCCATAAAATGCTCCCCATTAAGCGATTACATCAATAATAGTATCTTTAACAACTTATATAATTTTAATCTCTTGATCTAATCTTAAAAATATCTAATATCCTTTATAAATTGATAAACTGTCAGTGGGTTATCTACCAACATCATTTTAGGATACATTGGTAACATACAAATATTATCTATTAACTAATAAAAATTCATCATGTTTAGTTGAAAATTAAGTTAAATAGTCACCACTCATCGATACTAATTATTTTTATAAAACAATTTCAGCCCGATTATATAGTCCTGGTACTAAAAAGTATTAAAAAACTTAATATTTTAATCCTTAAGTTTTCTTGCCTACAAAATTAACTTCTGGTGCTTAATTTTTAATATACAGAAACAATCTTCCTCCTGCAACTGTCTAAATAAATATATTGTGAATATACTTTTCTAATCTATGCTTCAGTTTCACATTGTAGTTTCTTCTCTGGATGAAAATATGGACAGTAATCTATCTGTATTCTTGGATAAATAAATTCTTCAGATTTATATAACTGACCAGATAAATTAAGTTGAACTTCAGGACATAGAAAAGCTAATTTAGAGGCATTTTCAGGCATCCATTCAATGTCACTACTGTAACAAATCTTTAAAGGTATTTAAGTTGAGGAATTATCTTATTTTGCTGGGTCTAAGTATTTAATAACCTGCTGCATAGTGATACTAAAAATGCTAGTATTTGTGATTGATTCATTTAAGACATCCTTTCCATATAAAAATTGCATTGCTATTTCAGGTCCTACAGTTAAGGAGTCTGAATCATCCAATTATGAATACTCATTCAATCTTGGCACATTGTCAATTATAAAAACTAAATTGAATAAATTAATACAAACAAAGCTAGATATGATGTACGTGGTAAATAAAAATATAAAAATGAAAGTTCCTATTAAGCTTCTTCTGGTACTAACAGGATATGTTTTTGGAGTAGGAATAGCTGAGAAAATATCTATTTTATGTAGCATTAATCTCCATTTAGGTAAAGAGTTTCTGTATCTCTCTGGTTATAAGCGCTAATAAGATGAATTATTATTAGATAAATCTTCGATATCAGACATTAAAACAATATTAAATAATTTATAAGAATTCTTTATCTGTATGAATTTTTATTATATAGAATATTTAGATTGGAAATAGAAAAAAATCAAATACTTATATCTGATTATTTCAAATGAATATTTTTAATTTTTGATTTGTGGATAGAGCCAATTATTCAAGTTCTTAAACCTAATAATATATATATTTAATAATGTACTTCTTGATATGTTTCTTCGATAATTTATAGATTGTCTTCATTTTATTCTTCATCTTCTTCATCCTCATCAGTAAATCCTATTGCTTTTTTGACAGGGAACCAATCAATTTCATTATTAATCATTAGTCGTTTAACATAGGTTTCATTTCCTGATAAATCATTTTTTGGTTTAAAAAATAAATATACTTTATAATAAACATAATTCCACATATGATGATTTTTTTTAATATGTGAATAATGTCCATATTATGTACTCTTATCTAATTTTTCACTCTATATTCCACAAATAAAACAATAATCTTCTAGATTAGATTGTTTTTCAAGCATCTCATCTTTTAAAGCACCAAAAGTATCAATAATAATACCAGCAACCATATTGATGATCAAAAATACTAAGATAAATTTAAAAAGAACATCAAAAACAAATCTATAAATAAATCTATCTTATTAATAAGGAGTTAATGAATAATTAATAGGTAATTATGATCCAGATGGACTTTATAATTATGTATCTGTTAAATAATCACCAATAGCTCCTCCATTTTTAAATGTTTAATCAAATGTCTATAAAAAGCATCTCCACATAATTTAACATGATTAATCTTGATATTGATCCCAAAAGAATAAATAACCAATGACTGCAAAATAATATTCAACTAATAAGAATACTAAAAATGATAAACCCATTTGTATTTTACTAATCCAAATTGCTTTTATAACAATTTTAAGTGTTGATATTCTTAGAAAATCAGCTAATAACAATACAAATGCAAATGGATGAATAATTAATCCAACAATAATGCATGCCATATATCCACAAAAATATGCAAAATCAAAGTCAACTAAACAATTAATAAATGATCTAACTATCATAACAATACTCATAATAGTTCTTTCTATACATCCCATAGGTTTACTTAGAAATTCGACCCACATATCAGTAATTAAAAGTGGAGCTTTTTTAATAGCAAAAAATGTTATGACTAATAATGAGAATCCCAAATTAAGATATCCCAAAATGACTATAAGGGTGTTAGTCCAAGTAAAATCAGATACATAAAAAAGACGGGGCTAATTTAATCTTGCCTCCCACAGTAAATCAGAATCAGGTTAAGTAGAATCATAGTATTATTAATTTTATAGAACCCAATCTAATGAAAATTTAATACCATTGAAACTAATTGGGAATGGTGTTGGAAGAGTATCAGTATATGCATAAGATCCATAAGAGCATAATATTACTAGATTAATAATAACATTTGTAATAAATGCTAATTATTCCCATAATAATTTATGAGTGGCAATCAATTCTACAACTTTTAATCTTTTAAATAAATTTCTTAATAATTCTTCATGTTCCATTACTTTTCTCATTTAATCAGCAGAAGTCATTAAATAAACTAATTTATCTCTAATTGATGAATGATCAACTTATTCACAGAAATCAGTTCTTGATTCTTTTGATAACATTTTGCATTATGGTAATAAAGGGAAATAAATTCTATGTAGTTGATCATCTCTTGCTATTTCTATAAAAACTGTATTTTCTGAGAAAAATTTATATGCATCTTTTTAAGCCTTTTTCATCTCTTATGCTTTCTTCAATTCATTTGATTCTTCATCCTCTACTTAACCAAAAGGTAAATTGATTTTTATATTAAGATCTAAATTGATTTTAAGATCTAATAAACCTTCTAATCCTTAATTAGATTTTTTATTGACATATTAATATTCATCAATTAATTTACGAATTTCTTCAAGATCAGCTTCTTAAGATTTTTTATTCTTCAACATTAAAATATTGATTATAATAAACAAATTGAATCCATATTCTATAATGCATTCATTTTTTTTCTTTAATTCATAACCTTCACTTTCATCCTAATATGTTTTAAAACACTCTACAACATATTCTTTTTTAAATATTGAAGTATATAACATATAAAACTTAGCTAATTCATTAACTAAAACAGTAATAGGTATACTTCTAATCAATAGATTCATTATTTCATCATTATCTTCTTAAAGTTCCATTAAACTAAGTAAAGTATTTGTACATTTTAATTTCAATCTTTTTAATTTAACTTATTGAATATCTATTTTATTCTATTCAAATAATTTAAGATCTTCTTTTAATAAATCTACACTCCAAGAAACAAATTTACTAGTTACAATAACAACCTAATTTTCTTTACATGGACCTTAAACTACCTCAGTTAATGTATCTAAACATTAAACTAGAGATTCATATGTTGCATCAGATATTCTATTTGAAATAACCAATTTAACCATTAATGATACTATATCATAAGATACTTTAGAATTAGTTTATTATCTAAGATAATTTTAAAGATCATTATTATGTCCCTCACATAATAATTAAATCACCTACAATGTTTTTGCAATAAACTTTCTTTTTCTAATTTTCTTCTAATCATCTTTTTTTCTTATCTTTCTCATTGAAGCCATATATTCTGTTAAAATTGTGTATATCTTTAAGAAGAAAGCTTCACTATCTGAATTATTTTTCAATAAATTTAATATGCTCATCTAAATTACTTTATTACCCCCTTCAAGTAATGATATTATCCACTTTATTAATTGATAAATATATAAATCCTCAGTAACTTTATCACTCCAATATAATCTTAAAGCTATTTATGTAGCTTTAAGTGAATCTAAATGAATTTACATTTTTATTAATTATTTTTCATTCTTTATTTCCAATAATGCTCTAATAGATTTTATAATGAAAATCACCGTATGTCTACTTGCATTTCTGACTTTCCAATGTTCAATATAATTTAACAACTTAACAATAATATCATCTCTAGATATAATCAGATCCTTAAGTCTAATATCCATAGTTTCCTTAGGCTTTTCAAATATATCTTAGACATTTAAAATAACTTCTTTAAATTTAATTCTTTCACTTAATACTGCTTTTTTAACTGAATGGCTTCTTATGATTTTTTTAATAAAATTGTTCCAAGATTAATAAGAGGAGGATTTTTCTAATTATTCTGAATCTTATTCCTAAACAATTAATGGTTAATTATTATTTTTGTTATTCTATATTTCTTAAAAAATGTTTTCAGGTTGTTAGAAATAATCTTCAGCTATTTCAAGACTAAAATTATTGGATAATTCCATAAAACCTGCCTTGTAAATAGGTAATTTATCAAATTTATGTAATGCATTAACAAGTTGCTGAGCAAATTAAAATATAAATTTTTCTTTTTAAATACTTTAATCTTAGGCTAACATTTTTAAAGAAATCATTCCAATATCTTTCAGAAAATTCATAAAATACACATTAACCAATTTTACTATCTATAATGCAATAAAAGATTAATCATCTTTTGAAATACTAGGTTATTACATCTTTTATGATACAGTTTATAACAATTTAGTAAATTCAGTGCAACATTTTTAAAAATCCTGTAAAGCTTTATCAATTTTTTCAAAATATATTTTCAATATAGAAAATATTTGTTCCTTCATCAATAAAGATCCAGTTGAAGATTTAGTATCATGTAAAAGCATTTATAGCAATTATCTAACAGAAAGATTCTCTTAAAGTTAAACAATAAAGTTAACACTAATCTCACTTTCAATACATCCACTAACTAATTATATAAATTTTTTCCTAAACATTAACTACCTTTCTTCTTAATTCTTATCCTCATAAAATAATGGTAAATCCCTTTTTGGAATAATAGTTTTAGTTGGATCAAAATAATTATAATTAGATAAAATCTTAGACATTATGGCTACTTATATTTTCTATGTATCTGTCTCCTTTGATGCTTTTAAAAACACTAAGATCACTTCCAAGAACTCATATTAATGGCCATGATCATTAATTAAATGCTAAACATAATCAAAACATAAATCTTAAGGCTTTAAACATAAATCTACATTATTATTGTAAAGGGATTTAAGGAAAGCTACTTATCCAATATTTATTCTAACAGGTTTATCAAGTAATGTTACATATATTTTATAAATTGAATTTTGATTACTTTTATTTCCCTCAGCAAATTTACTTAAAATTTAATGACAAGTTGTAAAAACTTTAATAACATACTAAATAAATTATTTTCTGTAAGAATATTGATCTGAATTTTCAATTACTCCTAATTCAGACTTTTTCTATTCTAACTTTAAAGGTGGTAAAAATTTAGCCTTATTCATTCCTGGAGTAATAGCTTAATTAATTTATTCTTTCTCCTCTTCTGAAGAAATATGAAAGTATTTAATTTTTGAATATATAACTCTAATTCCTGATTCTAAAAATTTTAATATTAACTTATGACCTCCCAAATGTTTAAATATTTTTTATTTAATATTAAATGATTCAGCATCACACTTTTGCTCAAATTCTTTTAAAATTTAATCAAATTTTTAAACAGTTTAATGTAAGGCTTCTTCTGCTTTTTCATCATAAACATTAGATTCAATTATTTATAGCCAAGATTAACTATAACTAATCTAATTCTTTATATCATTAACTAATGTAGATAAAAGTTTATAAGAATTATTATCAGCTTAAACAAGAGAAACCTTTTTTAAATTTAATAATAGTTTTTTTCTTTATGTAAATCGTTTATAAAGTAAATTAACAACTGAATTTTGTAAATCAGGATCTTATGCAAAATAAAATGCTAAAATTAGGACTTCAACAAAAGGTCTTTCAAGTATATAATCAAAGTCTTGTATTTCTTCATCTGGATGAATGTTTTCATCATCATTTTTGTATTTTCCAGGATCAACACTAAAATTTGGCATAATTTCATCTGCGATTTTTTCATCTGCTATTTTTTCATCTTCTATATTCATGTAATTAGTTTAAAACCAATTTATTGCTTTTCCAATTTATATATCTTCTCTCCATTCTAAAAGAGTTTGGAAAATACCACATATTTATTTTTTTATTAAGATAAAGAATTTGCTTTGTTTTTAAAATTTACAAGTTTTTGTAGTAAAATATTTGATTAATTTGAATAAACTTGTGTATCTTTTCAAAAATGGGAATGACTATGAAAAGTCTTATTCTTTTTATGAAGTTCCTTATTCTTCTTCCTCTTCTTCAACTTTAGCTTTTTGAAAAATATTTAAATTTATCATATATTTTAAATCTTCTTTTTATTCCATATATGATCTTTTTATTTAGTTTGTCTTCAATTCTTAAAAATAATTATGATCATATTCTAATAGTTTTGCTAAATAACAAACTAAATTCTTCAAATCATTACTCAAATCATTAACATTACCATTTTGATTATTCAATTTTAATGTGGATTAAAGCAATTAATTTGCATGTTTAGAAAACAATCCAAATTTAACCATCAAACTTAAACATCTAATTACTTCATATGTTAATTCATTATAAATTTTTTCTGTTTTATCCTCATTAATATTTGCATCATCTAAATATTCAATTTTGTCTTTCAAATATTCTAATAACCATTTTCTAATTAAATAAGTTCCTTGAATATCATTTGTTAAATTAATTTCTATAAATCTATCTGTAATATCATCCTTTCCACTTTAATTAGAGTAATTCAATACTCTCACAAAACTTGGTTTGTTTATTATACTTCTAGGTTCTTAATCAATATAGAGATTTAATATCAACTAACATAAAATAGCCTTAATTTCATCATCTATAGGGATTCCCAAATAATACAACAAAGCTTTTCGTGGTAATAATTCTTAAAGATTCTTAACACATGCATAATTTCTATTTTAACATAATTTTCCATATAATCTTAGTTATTCAAGAAAATATTATTATATTCGTAAATCAATAAATTTGTTATCAAAATTTAGTCTTTATTATTCTTAAGGTTTTTAGAAGAATTCCTGAATCTTCAATTACTTGCTTTCATATTCTCTTTCAACAAATACTCTATATTCAACTAGAAGGTTATCTTCTAAGTAATCTATTCTCATTAAATGACCAAAAAGGAAATTTTTATTTTCAACAATAGCCTAAAAGATTTTCTCTTAATTTATATATATAGATTAATGTTCTTAAGATGTAAATGCAGAAAGTAATTATAGAATTTCTACCTTATAATAAGGTTCAAATTGTTTGAGTCTATGAGCCATAGCTTAAAAGATGTCTTAATACTAGTTTTAAGCAACTTCATTTATCTTTTGACGATGTAAATCTTCTAAAATTTCTTTGTTGTCTCTGAAACATTGTTTTAATGATTAAGTCACAAATGAACCAAATCCAATATGATTACTTAAATTTGTTAAAAATTTAAGAATAAATTATTGATTTTCCTGATTCCTGGTTGCAGAAATACTTAATAATTGATATCCTAATTGACATATTTCATATCTTTTTTTAATGATTTCTGTTTCTTATTTAATAGATGTGTTTTCTATTTAATATTATTAAATAATTATACATATTTTAGAGTGACCTTTCCTTCTTTTAAGAGTCCATTTGGATCCATCATCTGGATTGATTTGATAAAGCTCAAATTCATCTAATGTTGGAAATATTTCAATTAATAACCAACAAAGCAAACCTAAAGAGTATTATTCTTTAAATCTATCCTATCTTCCTCTACATACTTATAATGGTTCCTAATCCAAACTCATATTACCAACTTAACTATTGGTTAAGAATTCACTTAAAAATTGTATCATCTCTTTAACTCTTTCAAATAAAAAATCAAATTATTGTCTCTCTAGATCTGATTTAGGATATTCTGCAAATTTTATTAATAACTTTTAACTTGCAGTAACACAATAGGTTTCCCAGACCTATTATAAAGATGCTTCTCTAAATCTATAAGTATTGATGTCCTTAACATAATCTAATAAATTAGGCTATTAAATGCCTTCATTTTAATTAAGTGAAACCCACAATCCAGTTTTTGCATGTTGAATCATGAAAAAGGCATCTTTTGATATCTTTTATATTGATTTAGTTTTTCCCTTATATTGAATTAGATTGTCAATAGGCACAAATCTAAATTCAGTACATGAAAAATCAGCATTTTTAGAACTAGTATTAGCTCTATTATATGCCATTAATCTCTCATTAGAAGGAGTTCCTTAGACAGATAAATAACATCCAGTAATGATATTCTTTAATCTATATGTTTGATCCCATTTCAATTCTCCTCCAAGTTTAACATTATTAGATTCTATTTTCCATAAACCAAAAGGACTTAATTCATCTGATTAACCAATTTTAGGTGTTTTAATTAAAGTCAATAAAATTTGTAATCCATCCAATAATAATTCTCTAGGTTAATTAAGAAATTGTTCTTTAATATCTTTTTTATCATTTTGATACCATTCATATAAAATTCCTTTTTTCTCTTTGGCTAAATTGGGATTTTTTGTTGTCAAATACATTTAATAATAAGGATCTTCAGGTCTTTAACAAGTAAAGAATAAAGGCATTTCAGAACTCAATATCCAAACACATGAACCAACTCTCATATATGTTGATTCTTTAAATGGTTATTCATAAATATTAACTTTCCAATTTTCTTTTGAATCTATCAATCCAATAATAGTATCATTTTAAATAATGCTTAAGTATGGTGATTTACCACTATATTTTTTAGCACATGCAATATATACAATCTCATCTTCATATACAAAATTATCAGATCTACCTCTTTGTAATTTCAATGATGGATCAAAATTGAAAAAACAACATTCATCAGGATTCTCTGTTAATTAAAGACTATTAAAATTACTTCATATATTACAATAGATTGTTATTGTCATCCTAATACAAAGTAAGGAATTTAAGTGAGTTTATGTGTAATAACATGAAGTTACTACTTGCAAAACATATGGAAGCATTATAACTTTTCTAAATAACACCCAAATTAAATTAATATTCTGACTCTAATTTATTCCACATTTCTTATATTGCTTCTCTTCTTTTTTCCAGCTCTAAAATATTTAACTATTATTACTATTATCATTATTATCAATTAATTTCTTTCTCCATTCCTAAATCACATTAGCCTAATGTTCAAATGATTGAATGCTTGAAAAAGGAAGTACCATAAATAAGCTGAAAGAAAAATCATAATAATCCTACTTAAATAATCATAAGTTACCACTCCACAAATGGATTCAAAGCTCTTAAGTTTTACACTCTTATCCATGAATCCATCACTGAACATGAAACTATTCAGATTACTCTCTGTTGATAAATAGATCACAGACCCATAAGTAACAGGTTATAACAACTGTTCTTCCATAATTAATATAATTATTATATAATATATTTTTCAATTCTCGCTTAACCTGTATTCAAATACAAAGCTCATATTTCACTATTATTTGTTTGTATATTTTATAATATAAATATATAGAAATACTAATCTAAATAGTAATAACTAATTTTAGGAATTTAAATTCAAATTATCTACTACTTAATCTAAAACAAATTTAATATAATTATGCTTTTATTTTCTATATTTGTTATTATTAATGATATAATCTAATAATTAACCAAATCAAACTAATATTTCATAGAACATTCCAGTAAAAGTCAAGAGAGCAGCATCTAAATTACAAAGGTGGTTCAAAGGTAAATAAGATGTAAAGACCTATTAAAAACTTAAAAAAAATCATAGATATAGGAAGAATGTGATATCTGAAATTTATAACACAGAAAAATAATATTGCAATGATATGAAAATACTCAGTGAGAAAGTGTTGATATTGGCTTAATAATATATTAATTAAGAGAATATCAAAACAATATTTATGAATTGCAACCAAATAGCATAATGGAATTAGGAATTCATAAGAACAATGGAAATTGGATATCAAGGTTATATTGGAAATGTTAAAGATATGTATAAACCATATTGGGTAATAAATTATATTAATTATAAGGTTGTTTTTGAAGGAAATACAAAACAGTTAATGAATGTGACTTGTAAGGGATTTAGATATTATTTCGAATATTGTAGTTAATTTAGTAAATCCAATTAACTTATTGATAAGTTAAAGTAAAGTGATTAAAAGTTTAAATAATTTTTAAGTCTCATAAGTCCAGAATTAAGAGGGATGGATTTGTCTAGTTTCTTAGTCAAACCTGTATAAAGATTACCTAAATACATTTTATTATTTAAAGATTTAGAAAAACATACTGAGGATGATCATCCTGATATGAAAAATATTAAATTTTTACATAAATATTTTAGAGACATAAATGAAGAAAATAATAAATCTATTGATATATATATTGGAAGACTTTAAATAAGTGAATTATGTGATTAATTTAAATTAAATAAAATTGATTTACTATAGGATCCATTGAGAATATATAAATTTGAAGAAAAATTAAACATTATTTAAGCAAATAAAGAATTAATAGTTTAAGTACATGCTTTAAGTGATCTATTAATAGTTATTCATGATAATAAATTGTTTAATTAAGTTAAATTGGATTCATTGTCTTTTGTAAAAGATCAACCTGACACTAAATATTTTAATAATTTATTTTAAATTGTAGGTGTTGGAGAAGTATTGTAATGTTTTGCAGAGACATTATCTATTAAAAAGAAAGCAATTGAACAATTTGAAAAGTTAATTTAATTAAATAGAGAATAAGAATGTAAAAAAGAATTACAATCAGGAAAATTAACTTTTATGAGATATCCAGTTTAAGTTGTAATTGTAGGAACTGAAGAAAGAAATTTCCAATCTTTTTAAAAACATACATAATATATAACAGAGATATCCATAAATAAAGTTTATTAGAATGTATAATAATCTTTAATTTTAGATATATGTTAGATTTAGTGAGATAGTAACTATGTATTAGAAATATTCAAAAAAGTATCCTACAATTGAATTTCCAAAATTTCCAAATTAAAGTTGGTTAACATATTAAAAAACCAAATCAATTGAAGAACGTAAATTTGTAATTGAAGGATTTTTATAAACATTACTATAATCTAAATAGACATAAGGGGATATATAAATACTAAATGATTTAAGTATATTTATAATCAATAGTAGAGTTACCATTTAATTTTTTTGAATTACCTTAAATAGTTATTGATCAATAGAAATCAATTTTTAGTAAATATAATACTACTTTGGATGGATTAGAAGAATTGAAAATTTAAGGTGTTTTAATAGATAAATTAAATATGAGTGCTGGAGAAATTTTAAAAGCTGTTTGTATAGAAAAAGAAAGCAGAAAGAAAAGCATAGCTCAAATATAACCAAATAGAGTAGTAATTTGGCAATAAAAATATTATACAGAACCCAATATGAAACGAGTCATTATTACTATGCCTGATGGAACCTTGACTGAAATTGGAGTAGATGATAAGGCTAAGGTAAGTGAAGTACTTCCATTTGTAGCAGGATATAATTAATTAATTTATTATAAAGATTTTCGATTGTATTTGATTGATTAATTGAAAAAATAAAGAATTCTTGATGATGATGAAATAATTAGTAAGGCTTATGATGATGAAAATTAAAATAATCATGGATGGCTAAATAAATTAGAATAAATTATAACTGCTTCTAACACAGAGTACTAATTTATATATAGAGGAGTGTTGTCATTAAGATGAGAAAATACTTATATATGCCACTATAATTAGAAGAATTTGATTATAGAGAAGATCCTACTCGATTAATTTATCTTGGTTTCTCTATTTTGGAAGATGTATATGAAGGTAAATATTACTTAGGATTCAAAGACTATTGTTTATTTGCTGCATTATATTATCATCTTAAAGTAATCTCTATTCTTATATATTAGTATCAAGAAAAGATTGAAATCTCTCTTAATACATTGTAATTAGATAAAATTATAAAAGTTATACCTTAGGAAGTATATTCAGGTAAATCTGATTTTGAATGGAAAGAATTCTCAAAAGAATGTATTGTTTCATTGAATTAGGAATTAGATAGAATTAGTGTAAATTATATATTTAAAATCATTTAGTAAATAAATAAAATAGAGAAACTGTAAAAAAAAGAGAATTCATAATATAAATTTACTGACAAAAGATGTTTGGCTGCTTTGATTATTATTAATGCTTCTTAAACATTTACTTAAGGTAGTATGGCCATATTTTAAGTTTAAACTTATGAATAAACATAAATATATTTTAAACAAGCAGGTATGGAGGTACATGCTACTATGTATTTGGGATTTTCAGCCTATAAAATTTATTTTTTAAATCCATAGAAAAAATTAAAATTCAGAGAATTGGATTACAATAAAGTAAATTGGGTGATATCTTATCCAAATTAAATTATATTTAATTTCGAAAATTTTAAAGAACCTCTTCGGTTTGATACATTTTAAAGTTATGAAGTATGAAATCATAATTACTAAAAGATAAAATTGTTAGTTGAATAATACAAAGACATACATAAGTTTAATAAAGAATATAATTTAGAGAATCTCTTTAATAATGATAAATCATAATTTATTAAAAATTGACTCACAAAATTTTATAATGAGTGATTAATTAATCATTTATAATAATTTTTATAAAGAAACTTTGGGGAAAATTTATTAGGTATTGTCTATTATACAGTTTTTCCTAATTCAGGTGTTTTCGATTACATTTTTTTAACTCTATCTTTCTTGATTTAAGAAAATTCAGAAATTAATTTATTAAGCATAGCTTGATTTGTTTCTTATTTCATAGATGCTCTATTAGGAGGCATTTACTTTTTGACAAATTTAATTGCCAAAATATTAGGACTAGCTAATTTCTCTGTAGGTTCAGTTTTCCTTTATTTTGTATTTGAATTTTCCATCCATTCTTCAATTGATTATTCAGTAATTTTAAAATTTTATGTTGTTTTCTTATCAGAATTCTCAAAACATTTAACATCCTTACTATTAGGTTAACTTTAATGCCTTTTTTCTTTTTCTACACTTTTACTTGTTTTTTATTCTGAACTTGATCTAGTACTTTCATGATTTTTTAAATTATATGGTTGATCTTTTTCATTTAAAAAGCTTATATCTTTCAAAAATTGATCAAAACCAACCAATTTACCTTCATAATGAAGATAAGTCATTTTTTTTTCTTAAATTTCTTTAAGACACTATTAAAGTTTAAATAGTTTGCTACTATATCCACCCATAATTTAATTAAATGGAAGTGGACTCATCTATACTATTTTTTCATAATGATTTTTTATATCATGTATATATGTTGCTATTTAATGTTCTATTTATTTAGCTTATACTTTTAACTAATTAGTTATTTATATTCCTGACCAGAGTTATTGTGACAAAGCAAAAAGTAATTCAGATTTACACTAAAAATATGAAAGAACAATTACTAAGTTTAATTATTTTTCAATATTTCCGAATGTTTTAACAACTTAAGTATATTAGTCATTATAAAATTTTTTTAAATTTGCCTCAGTGCATAAGAAATTAGAATGGATATTATCAATTTCACTTTTAGTATGGAGTAATTAATCTATAAATGAGTCTGTTTATTTCTTCTTAGCATTATCTATAAGATATTAAATAACTAATACCCTCCTCAATTAATTAAATTTTATTTCCTTATTATGCAAAAACAACTGCACATTTTGTACATAATTTCTCATTTGGTCCTTCAGCATTTAATAGAATATATTTAGCCTTAGTTTAAATTAAAGTTTCTTACTTTTTTTTCAGGATGCTGTAAACAAAAAGATTGGTTACAATTATATTGAAATTCTGAACTTTATTTAAACTTTTCACTAAAAAGATTAGAGCTCTAATGAATAGGAGTGTCAATGCCATTCCAAATTTATAAAGATGAGAGATGTATTTGATCTTCTTTTTTCATTTGAATTTTAATTAATGATTGTTATGATTAATTATTATTCATAAATTAATATACGTTATATTAAAACCAATAGATACTTTAAATTAATTTCAGTGAAAATTTGATTCAAATTGAAGATAAAGAATAATTATATCAAAATTTTGTTAGTTCTATTAATTAAAAAATCTTAAAATTTTAATTTTTATAAAATATAAATAGAATTTATCCTAATACTATGATTTAGAATTAAATTAAAATATAAATAAAATTGAAGCAGCATTAAGTTCAAAAATATAATATATCTCTTTTAATGTAACATATATAATGCAAAGATTATTAAAATATAATATTGAATTCAATGATCAATAAAATAATACAATCATTTTTATTGATATATCTAATAATAATAAAGATTAGCTTAATATATTTATTATATGATTATAAAATATAATCATATGATAATAGTATATTTTTATTGTTGTTATGTTCTTTAAAAGAAATCATGCGATCTTATTATATATATATTAACATTTATTGATGAAAATCAAAAATATGAAGGTAAAGGATTGATATTTATTTAAAATATGAATGTTTAAACTAAATATTAAGATATAGTAAATAAAAAATAGTTAAAACAAAAAGTAATAATAAGATAATATACAGCAGCAAGAGTAGCTCTTAATCAATTAATATTTCTATGAACTCTAATTCGCAAATAAAATCATTTTTTTTAACTTTATTTCATATAATATAAAATCTAGAATCTTTTGGTAGATGTTATCTATATTTCATTTTAACTGTTTCTTAAGATTATTTATTCAATGCTAATAAGGAATATAGTGCATTGTTCATACATTTCTTTGAAGATAATTCTTTTTTAGTTTTTTCTAGTTAATTAGATCGAATCTAAATTCTTAATCTTTAACCTAAATCTTACTTTATTTAAGTTAAATTAAAACCATCTTAAAAATCAGTTAAATTAGTGCTCTTTAATAAATCTGAAATAAATTTCTTTCTTTAATCATTAATAAGGTATATTTGATATGGATATTTGACTCCATTTTAAATGACTTATTCTTTGTCAATCAATAATTATTAATTAGGTGTTTTCTATGATATAATACCAGGATCTGTTATTAATCTTTAACTAGATACAATTGAATTTTCAAAATCATTAATTTATGTTTTTAATCTTCCTCTAACTTTTTATCTTACAATATTTAAATTAGTATTTTTTCTTAATGATGATACTTTCTCAATTAATTCATCAGCTAGTGATTGATTTTTTTATTTTGTAAAATTAGTTGAAGGAAGTACTAAATCACTAAAAATATGTAATCTTTTATTAGTTATTTGTAATTCATTATCATCATAATTTATTGATTTTTAGAGCGTTTACTGTTATCTAAGTAATTATGGTATTAATTGAGGAGGATTTCTTTAAGATGAAGATTTATTCAAAGATTAACTTCTAATGTGAGGCTGTAGTTACTTTTAATTTGGATTTTTAGGCAATTACATAATTTCTTATTTTAAATATATATAAATAATCTTATTTCATTTAAAACAACAACAGGATCGTTAAGAATTTTTTATTTATTATTGAGCAATCATAAAATTATTGAGATGATTATAACACTTTTGAGACCATTATTTAACATCTAATTGATGAATTTTATTAGAGTGGTCTGGATTGAATTCAAGTGCCTCTAAAACTGTTTCTAAAAATCGAAGAGACGAAGAGAATTATATTTCTAAATGAAGTCCTTCTAATGTCTAATAACAGTTGAATATGAATATCTTACTTTAATATCTTTAAATAATATGTCTGCCATTGTGCTTGGAGATACATTATAAAGTTATTGAAAATCAGGTAGATCAAAGTTAATGAGAAGCAAAGTATTTTATATAACAATTAGGCAAGAGATCATATCATCAAACATATTGAGAAAATTTTCTAAAAGAACTTATTTTTACTGTTTTGATTTTAAGCCTTAAGTTATTAATTCAAAAAACCTGCCATATTTTCCATGAATCTCATTTCATTGAATTGATTATAGTAATCAAGGTATTATAATTTATTTTTTTCTATAATTTAGTAGTAAGTTTGACTGGCCTCGCTTGGAACTACGGAAAGTGGAGGTTTAGAAATAGTTGATTGATACATTCTAAGTACAGTTGTATTATCTTATTCGAATTAAGGAACAGAGTTATAGTTTTAAGTATTTGAAGGAAAAATTTTCTTCATTTTCATATAAAAATAATAATAATAATAATAAATTATATAAAAAAGTTTAACTAAATTAGTTTTAATAAAATATTAGAATTGAATAGTTTTATTAAATAGTAAATCCATTTTTATTCATAATTAATAATCCTATACTTTAATGATTATGTATAAATTATAATTAAAAACATTGATAATTTAAATAAGATTAATCATTTTTATTATTTTTATTAAAATTTAAGTCTCAAAGGTTCTCCAGATGATGGTGATGGAGAATTTTCTTTCATAGTATTTATAACAGAGGTTGATTAAGCAAATTATCTAAATTAAAAAAATTTATTATTACAATTATTTAATTCTTTATTCTCTTTTAATAATTTCTTCTATTTTTTTATTATCAATCTAGATATCATCTCCAGCAATTACTCCAAATTAATATATTTCTTAATCTTTTTATCTCTCTTTATACTTTTATTTAGTCAAGTCTCCTCTACAAACAGGACATATCTAAATTACAAAGTATTTTACTTATAATTTCTTTCTCCATTCATCTAAACAAGATTAATGAAATAAATGTAAACAATAAGTCAATTTTACTAAATCCTGATTTTCAAATTCAACCAAACAAATCTAACATTCTGTAATTACATTCAATCCTGGATACTCTTATATAACTTATTCATATAATTCAACAGGAATAAAATCTCCAGAAAATTATCTTTCATGAAATTTACCTTCTTTTTATGATTTCTCTGTACTATTTCTTCGATCTGTTGAATATTATTCAAATTTATTAATTCTCCTTCTACATATAAGTGCACAACCAATCAAAACAAAAGCCAATATTAAAGAAGAAAATGCACCAGCAAGTATGTAATATATAATTTTATCATCACCTTAATCATTATTGGATATGTCAACACTCATATTAATTAAAACATTAGTTGCTTATTTATTATAAAACAATAATAATAGCTTTGGAGTCATTTATTAACTAAGTTCTTTATTAATTTCATAAAATAGATTTAAACATTCCTTTATTTTCTCACTAGAATAGGTTATCTTACCAATGTCTAATTTATTCAAATCATAAAATTAACTATCATAAAATGGAAGGTAATCTTTTTCAAACTAACATGCCAAAAAGCAATCGATTTTTTAATTGGCATTTATATTAATGTCTAATGAATTTATACTACTTTAGTTCAGTGGTATAGAAATTAGAGTCTCTTTTTGGCTTTCTAGAGATATCTAATGTTTATAAAATATATTACTGTTTCTTATCCATTTCCCTTGTAGGACCTTGATGAAATTTAACAATTAGTTCCAAATTAATTCTCATTGCATATACAAAACGACGGTTGACTTTTTGAGCAAAACCCAATATTGTTACAACTTCTATTAATAATTAACCTTATACTTAGAAAAGCATGTTAAAGGCTCTTGATTTGCGATAGTTATTTCATATTCTGTTTCTTCACTTGAAAATATGTAAATTGAGAATTTTCTTTCTTTCATACCAAAAATACTAAATTTATTGTATATCCACTCAGACTCTTCTTAATTATAATCATATAACATTATCTATTGTTTGCTCTAATAATTTAATATAGCATTGTTATCAAAAATACACTATTTCCTAAATATTCTAAACAATATACTTATTTGATTCTATCTAAGTTTTAACTTGAGATATAGAGCTAATTATAGTTTTTATAATGTTTAAATTTGTTATAGAACAATATGAAAGTATAGGGTATGACGTTATTGGGTTATATGTCAAACTGATAACTATGGTTGATTAGCCAAGTGTAAATTCATCATAATTGTTCAGGTCAATTTCAATTGCATTAAAACCTCTAGTGGTATGAGTTGATTTCATAACTAATGCATAACTAAACCCTATTAAAATAGTTAAAAGAATCATCTTCAAATTTTTTTAGGATAATAATTTGGTTACTAATTACAATAATATATAGATGTAAAACTGAAACAATGAATCTTTTGATTCTTGAGGATTTTAATTTAATCATAAAGAATTAATCTAATTAAGAATGATATCAGAATAAAGAAACAAGGAAAATAATTAGTAGACTTAATATTGACTAATCTTAATGTTGAAATTAAAATATAGTATCAAAGTAAGATACGAGAAAAATAAATATATTCATAATATCACTTAAATGAATATTTTATCATTATAATGATTGAAAAGATAAATGATTATAAACAATTTTTAGGCGCTTATTAAATTCTTAATTCGAATGTATATTAAAATATTTTACTTTGTTTACTAAACAGTCTATAAGAATATGCCAAAAATTACTCCTATTAATAATTTCAAGAAATTTTATCTAAATAAATTTACAACTTACAAATCTCTTTGCTCAAGAATGTAAATCAAATAAATAGCAATAAGTAAATAAGGGTCGTTTTAGATAATAAAATTAATAATCTTATTTTTATGATTAACCATACTTAAATAACAGATCTTTATAGATTTTTTTTAATAAATTTAAAGAGTAAAATATCAATTTATCAATTAAATTTAATAATATCCCTAAATTTCTTTGGAATTATTATCAAAGTAATCATATTTTCTCTATCATTTTTAAGAAGATCTAATATAATATTTAATTTATTTGAAAAAATGATTGTTTAATTGATCATTAATGAATCTTCTAGAATTTATTATATTATTCCTAGATAATAGTCAATATTCTTTTTATATTTATATAAGCTTAATTTCTATTTTAGGTTCAATTTTCATTAATTTTGATACAATGATAATTTTAAATCATTTAATGTTTGAAGATTTTATGATTCTTTCAATTATTTTTATTTAGATAACTTTATTGTTATGTTTGATTCAACTGTATTGAGGGAGATTTGAATGAAGTTTTGGAGTGTATTTAAAACCAATATTGAAATTAGTATCAAATTTCGAATTTATCTGAATGTTGTTGATGATTAATAATTTTATATTATGTTTATTCCAGATTAACGAAATTTGGGAGGAAGACAAATTATTTGCAATATGGTTTGGAATCATCGACTCTCCCTTAATATTATGGACGATAAATCTGCAGCCTCTCCAATATAGACTAAAATGCATACTCCTCGTTAAGGATGCTACACAGATAGACAAGGACAAAACAAGCCATCTTTTTTTTTTCGAAGAATACCTACTAGCAATTACCAAAAATATAAAGAACTACTTTACAAAAAGCCATTATCATTTCCTAAGAATTAGCATAAAAAAAAATATGACACAGATATTAAAATAATAGATTGGAATTTTGTTGAAAAGGAAATTAACAAATACGGGAAAGAATTTTATAAGGTGAATCTACATTAGTTCATTTAATCGTTTGCAAAAAAAATGAATATTAAAAAAGAATATGATTTTGCTACTCTTATTGAAATGGTATTGAATTCCTATCCAAATATTAAATAAGAAGATTTAATCGAAATAGCATCTGATATTATTGTTGATGAACTTTGATAGTTAAGTTTTGACTATTATTTAAATAAATTAAACTTAAATGATTTAGTATTAAGAAATTTTAATATCTAGTAAAGACTTATTATACATATATTTTACTTTACTTAATATTAATAAACTTATTAATTTTATGCAATTTTAAATCCATTAAAGGACATCTACCATTAATTAATTTGTTCATTCAAATCTATATAAAATTCTCAAAGAAAATTTCTTTATTTATGAACATCAATATTATTTCTTATTTTAATTAATAAAATTTGCTTCAAATATTTCCTCATTTTAATAATTTATAAATATGGATATATAAATTACAAAATAATTTTATATCATTTATTTATAACTTAAAGGTTTTCATTTAACTCTTCAAATCAATGTTTAATCATCAGAAGATTTTTCCATATAATACTCAGCTATAGTTGATTCTATATTCTCTCCATTTTCATCTTCTTAATCAATCTAATGCCTAATGTTACTTAATTCTTAAGATTATTCTATTTCCTTATTAAAATTTGTATTTAGTAATATAGCAATATAGGAAGTTATCATAAGCATATTGATGGGATTAAACAGATGATGATCATAGTTTTCATAATATAAATAAAAAGAACTTTTCTAAAAAGAATAGACCATAAAGAAAAGAATATCTATTATAAATATATCCAATCCTAAATTAAATAATAAATTTACTTATCAAATGTGATTGCAAACTAATCATAATCTCATAAGCAAAAATGCTAGCATATAATAAATAACATATCCAACATATTTTTAAAAGATTATTAATATTATCTACTTAATTCTCTAAATCTTTAATAACAAAGCTTTGATTTTCAAATGAAATCAACCATCTATCAATACTTATTGGTACAATTACAAATATAGAAACAAGAGTATTTCTTAATTTGTTAGTTTTATTATTTTATCCTTATAAATAGGATAGAATTTATAAGAAATATCTTAAAAATAAAAACTCTCCAATTGCATAACATGTTTAACCAATAAGCCATTCAATTGCTTCAAATTCAGGAAAATAGCATAAGGGTCTTAAAGGTTAAGCAATTAATAATATGATTAGAAGCATATGTGGTTTATTTTATTTTATATAATTTCCTAATGCAATCATTGAAGTATTCTCTAATTTATTAAATTAATTCGCTAGAAACATAATTACAAGACAAAGGAATGCTACAAAAGCATCTTCTAAATACTTAAGATTATTTTTAAAATAAGCTGTGATCTCTAAATTTAAACTTTTTGTGAAAATTGCATAAGTACAAACAGCAGATAATTAAGTAGTCATAAGATAATATTAATTATTATTGATATTACCCTACTTCAATGTAAAGTTGAGTAATTTGAAATTAAATGAACTCTATACTTCTTATTTAATGATTTCTGAATCAATAAATGGAAATGTCGAATTTTTTTGATCTTCTAAAAAAATATTTGTAAATGTCAATTATTTTGAAGTTGGAAATGGCTAATAATAAATATTCAAGTTTTTTGTTATTTCTATTGGTAATGAATATAAAAAGTAAAATGTTGCCAATGTTTCATTAGAATTCCAAATAAAAACACAATATTCTATATTTTCATTATCCTCTGATTAGCTATAATGACAGTTTCTTTTAAGTAATTCTGATTCAATAAATTCAATATTCAATTGTTTATCAATAATATAGAATACACCAATAAGAGCCCCAAAAATAATTAAATTCTTCATAATTATATGAAAAAATTAGAAAAAGTTTCAACATCAATATATATAAAATATAGGTGTTGAATTAAATATAATTCATAATCATTTTCTTAGTGAATTTTCAACTCTGTTACAAGTTTGGTCAATTAAATTAATTAAACTTTCTTCAGTTGCTTCTCTTTCATTTTTCTCATTTTATAATTCATGATTCAAATAATTATTCATCTCATCCAACATTCTAAACATTTAACCTTGAGCTGATTCTCTTTATTTTTTTTCATTAGTTAAAATTTCTTATAATTTTAGAATAGAATCTCCAAGTTTTTTAATTGTATTTTAGTTTTATTCCTCCCTTAAAATAATGCAAATTATAAATACCTTTATCTTCTTTCTTCTTCAACTTCTTCTTATAATTACAATACTCTATCTCCAATTTCTTAAGAATTCTTTTCCTCAGTTTCTTCTCTATATTTTTTTTATCTTGCTAAATCCAATTTTAAACTGTAGACTTTATCATCTGTATTTTTAATAATTTTAACTTCATAATCCTTCCTATTGATTTTTTCATTTTATAATTCCTTTCCTAAAAACCCTTCTAATAATTTCAAATCTTTTGATCTTAACTTCTCATCTCCAGCCTATTAATATTTTCAATATATTACTTCTCTAATTATTTTTTCATTTTAAGCTCCTTCCTCAATTTTTTAAAGTTATTCTCTTAATAATTTAAATTTTGAATCATCAGCTTAACTTTATTTTGTAGCCTTGTCCTCTAATAACTTTACTCTATTTTCAAATGTTTCTTTTTTAAACTGAATTAAAATTGTATTTTACAGCCTAATCCTCATCAACTTAGTGTTAAAGATTTGATAATTTTTCTGATAGTTATGAAATCTTGGCTCTACTTGGTGAAAGTGCTCGATCAGCACCACCAATATTAACATTTGATCTTGATGGAGAGTATAGAATTTTAGATGAAGACATTATTTTATTAATAAAATTATTTATCATATATCATTAAATAGTGTTTTGAATTAAAATTTCTTTAAATCAACTTAAGAACAAGTTCTTGTAGTACAAGCCTTCTATGAAGAGGATTTACTGTCTGATATTAAAAATAATGGCAAAGGTTTTGGTGAAATATGAAGTATGGGAAGGGATTTCTTTTTATTTGGTTTACCACCATTAAGTAAATAATTATTGTAAATGTGAGTAGTTATTTTTAAAGTGGGTTTTTTATTTTATGTTTTATTCATTAATCCAATATTACTCTAGCTGCCTTATTTACTGACTGTTAATTGTGTGCGTAATCTCTAGTTTGTAAATAGCAATTAAGCATTATTATATGCTTGAAATCTCTCAAATGATGTTCCTCTTGATCTCATTGCTATTTCACTAGAAATATTTTTATAAGAGTATGTTTAAGTATTAGCAGATTACATTATAATATATAAATATAATGTGAAATACAGAAAAAAAGAAAAAAAATAAATATCTAATATTGTGTTTTGACTCATTCAAAATTTAGAATTTGATTTAATTATTTAATTCTTCATTCATTAAATTATATTAAATAGTATCTATCAAATTCATTATTTTTCATTAAATCTTAAGATTTCCAATTCATATGATTTAAGATTTTTTATATTTGGTAATTCCCTTCCATTTAGACGAATCTAACCTGATAGAACATCCTTGAAGTATTAATGATTTAGATATTATTGAGCTTTTCCTCTATAATTTGGAGTATATTTTATAAACTACTTTATGAATTCTATTGTCTCACTAAATTCCCATTCTTTTTTTTTTATTTGAGGCATTTTAATATCCTCAAATTAACTCTTCATTGATTATAATTCATGCTTTTTTGGAACTCCTAGAATCTTAATTATCTCTGCAATAACTTCCTCTTATGTATTTCCATCAAAAGCAACATTCAAAGTCCACATTTCATAAATTACACAACCATAAGCCCATAAATCAATTGAATTATTGTATTTAGTTGTTCCAAGTAATAATTCAGGAGCTCTGTATCTTACATTATTAACGTTGTTAATGGAATCTTCACCTTCAAATAAGAACTTAGCTTATGAAAAATCTGCTAATTTTAATTCAAAGGTATGATTATTAATTAAGATATTGTCTGGCTGTATATTCCTATGACAGATTTGACATTCATGCAATTAAGTAATTGCTCTTAGGAGTTAAAAAGCAAATGATTTTATTAAAATTAAAGGAATTTCTTAATTTCTCTATCTGTGTCCCTAAATTACTTGAGTGAGATTCAAAGGCATAAAATCAAAAAGTAAATTTGTTTGATTATTGTTCATAAAATGATGCCTTAATTCTATAATGCAAGGATGATGATATTTTTGGAGTGCTTTTAAAATCAATAACTCTCTTTCTTTCTCTTGTTTATTATATTAACTTTATTTTAGACAAACATTTTGTTAAACAATTGGAAGTTCTACCTATTTTAATAATTTAAATACTTTAAAAACATTTGATGTTTTATCAATAGATTTATTTTATTTGTTTTGTCTACTCTATTTCATAGATGATGGAATGGATACTCTATAATTAGTTTCAATAAATTTTTTCATATAATCTGTGATTTTAGTATGATGAGATAATGATCTGGATGGTTTATTTTAAAGCATATATTGATAAATCAAAAATTAATTATAACAAACAATTTTCTCACTTCAATTTTAAGTTTAATTATTCTTTATTTTTACTACTTAGAAAGATTAGAACTATGACTTTAAAAATAGATTTACTATGAAAAAGTAGTATATGTAGATATCTAAATATATATATATATCACTTATAAAATTAGAAATTAATTATAATTTAATGTTTTTTCCTCCTCCTTATTATTACAAATAGTTTACAAGTCCAAAAAGTTTTCCAGTACCTGACTTAGATAAAGTGAGATAACACACAGATGATTATTATTCATTTGGAGAATTTCATCAAGTATTATGAAAAATTATTATTAGTTCAAAGATTTTGAAGCTGATTAATTATAGATTTTAAAAGAAAAATTAGCTGAAAAAAACATCCATGGAAATTTAAAATTAAAATTAAAAGAATTAAGCACTGAAATTTTTGAAATCTGTATTAAACTACAAGATTCAATTGCTAATGTAGATAATTAACACATAGAATTAAAGAATTAATTACATGAGAATTATGAGCAATTCAATTTAATATGTTAATTTATTAATATGAAATAAGTATTTATTTATTATATGTGATATTAGAAATATATCGATTTAGAAGAAATATTTAAGAATGAATTAATAAAACTTAACTAAATAAATAAGGAAATGGCAGTTAAAATTTAGGAATTCTAAAAATAAATAGCTGAATTAAATTCTGATTTTATCACATATTGATATGTAATTATAAATATGAATATTTAAAATATTATATTCTAAATAATATTATATTTATTCTGATATCATGAATAAATACTCACTTTTCATTATCCCCATGAAGCAATTTATCTCTTCACATTTTCATAGTTTTTTAAGGTTTAATCAATCTTAGGTTCAGCTCTCAAGAAATCTTCCTTTGCTCTATTTTATTAATATTAATAATAATTACTTTTTATCATTTGCTTAGATAGCTGCTAATTAGTCTTTACTAAGTGAAATCAATTTCTTCTATCTAGAAAGTCTTAATCAAAATTTTACTCAGCAGGAGATAGATTTTATATTTTACTAACATGTTCTTTAATTGTTTTAAGTATCATTTCAATTAATGGATCATTTTCATAAGTCATTTTTCCTTGTGCTAATCCTTTAAGAGCAGATTTGAATAATGCCTTTTAGATTTCTGGAAGATTATTCTTCAAATTAGTTTCTAAAGATTTTTAAGCAGCTTCAATAATTTCTTATAATAATCTATTTTAATTAATCTAATTTAATATAATCTTATAATTACTTATTCTGATTATTAAACTTATTTAAGAATATTTTATGATCTCTCAACAACATGTCTCTATAGATTTAATTATTCATTCATAAGAAACTAAAGAATATAATTTATTAATAAATACAGTATTAATTAATTCTGCTTTAACATCTCTGAATTCTTTATGTAATTATCCATATTCAATCTATCCTTTAGCTGCTTCAAGTAGTGTGCGAATTTTAAGTTACATATTTTCATGATAATATTGATCTAATTAGAAACATTCATTTCCAGCTACTCTTCTGTAAAATCTAGCAAGTAATGGTTTCATAAATGATTTACGACCTTCCAAGTAGAAATACATAATTTGCATCCAGAATAAGAATGGTAAGAATGATGATTTAGCAATCCAATGAAGATTTGTTGTGCCTGCTGCAAATCCAATAACAATCAATCCTCCATAAGTTAAAAGAAGATATTTTCTTGCAACAAGGAAATTTTCATAATGTGGTGAAACTNTTAAAATTTATGCATTATCAGTATCCCATTGATCTTGATTATCTTTACAGAAAATAATCTGGATGGTTAGTTTAATGGCATAATTTAATATTTATAATTAGACATTTTATGTATAATTTAATCCATTATTATTACAATTAATTTACATGTTAATAAGGAGACCTTATATAATATCTGAAATGAAATGTTAATATAAAAAAAATAAGGATTAAGTTTTTAAGATGAATATAAAATTTAGGACTACATATAATCTATATTTTAAATGATATTATAATTTATGCTGATATCATGAATAAATCTCACTTTCATTATCCCCATGAAGCAATTTATCTCTTCACATTTTCATAGTTTTTTAAGGTTTAATCAATCTTAGGTTCAGCTCTTAAGAAATCTTCCTTAGCTCTGTTTTATTATTATTAATAATAATTACTTTTTATCATTTGCTTAGATAGCTGCTAATTAATCTTTACTTAGTGAAATCAATTTCTTCTATCTAGAAAGTCTTAATCAAAATTTTACTCAGCAGGAGATAGATTTTATATTTTACTAACATGTTCTTTAATTGTTTTAAGTATCATCTCAATTAAAGGATCATTTTCATAAGTCATTTTTCCTTATGCTAAACCTTTTAGAGCAGATTTGAATAATGCCTTTTAAATTTCTGGAAGATTATTCTTCAAATTAGTTTCTAAGGATTTTTAAGCAGCTTCAATAATTTCTTATAATAATCTATTTTAATTAATCTAATTTAATATAATCTTATAATTACTTATTCTGATTATTAAACTTATTTAAGAATGTTTTATGATCTTTCAACAACATGTCTCTATAGATTTAATTATTCATTCATAAGAAACTAAAGAATATAATTTATTAATAAATACAGTATTAATTAATTCTGCTTTAACATCTCTGAATTCTTTATGTAATTATCCATATTCAATCTATCCTTTAGCTGCTTCAAGTAGTGTGCGAATTTTAAGTTACATATTTTCATGATAATATTGATCTAATTAGAAACATTCATTTCCAGCTACTCTTCTGTAAAATCTAGCAAGTAATGGTTTCATAAATGATTTACGACCTTCCAAGTAGAAATACATAATTTGCATCCAGAATAAGAATGGTAAGAATGATGATTTAGCAATCCAATGAAGATTTGTTGTGCCTGCTGCAAATCCAATAACAATCAATCCTCCATAAGTTAAAAGAAGATATTTTCTTGCAACAAGGAAATTTTCATAATGTGGTGAAACTTATTCTGGTCCAATGAAGTTGTAAAACAATTCAGATGATTTAATCTATGATATAATATTTAACACTTACACCACTGAAGTTAACTGGATTATGTGGATTATTATATGGATGCTCGAATGCTTTACCTTGAGGTGCAACATTTGGTGCCTTATTATCTTTCTCAATAGCTTCACTACATGATTAAAGATAATGCTCTTACAGCTTTTGATTGAATTGAGTGACATATTCTGCATATTTGCTTTAAAATTTTAAGAAATTCTTTCCAGCTATATCCTTATGAGTAGCAGCTGCTGTAGCAAATCCGAAGTATCCCACTCTTCCTGAAGATTTTACCAAAAATTGCATCTTTTTTAAAATATTTAATATA